CTAGGTACTTCTGGTGTAGGGTATATAAAGCCGCGCTCGCGATTTGTTTAGTCAGTTTGAAGAAAAATGGACGAGCGACAAGTTCGAACACTATACTTATACGAGTACTTGTTAGGCCACAGTGCGCGGGCTGCGGCTGACAATATCAACAATGCATAAGGCGCTGGAAGTACAAGCCATGCGACGGTGTCCCGATGGTTTGACCATTTCTAAATCAGAAGACAGGAGCCTTGAAAGTCAGCCATGCTCAGGGCGACCACCCGCAGTGAATGATGACGATTTGCGCCGCGAACTGCAGTTGAATCCGGATGCTACCACTCGTGAATTAGCGGAAGCACTTAAATGCAGTCACCACGCCGTGGAACACCATCTGCATGAGCTTGGTTATCGAAAAGTTTTGGCTCGGTGGGTACCGCACATCCTTACAGACGCCAGTCGTGCAGTCCGTGTCGCTATCTGTCAGTCACTTTTGCTGCGACCCCGACGTAAAGAGTTTTTGTCAGATCTGGTTACTGGAGATGAATCATGGATTTATTACGAGAACGATACACGTCGTGCTTTTTGGCTGCCTCGAGAAGAAACGCCACCAACTCAACCGAAGCCGAGTCAAAAGAACCGCCGAAAAATTCTGCTTTGCTGTTTCTGGGATGCGCAAGGCATACTGTTTTATACGCTATTACACAATGAAACTATAAACGCTGACAAATATTCAACCCAGCTTACCAAATTATCTGCCGCTATCAAGAAAAAACGACGAAGACGAGTCAATGTAGTTTTACTGCACGATAACGCTCGACCTCACATCGCATCTGTGGTTCGCCGGCAGTTAGAGAACTTGGGCTGGGAGACGATACCCCACCCACCTTATTCCCCAGACCTCGCCCCATCAGACTATCATTTGTTTAAAGCCCTGAAACAGCATTTGCGGGGTAAACAATTTAATGATTTCTCTGACGTAGAGGCCGAGTTGAACAACTTTTTCGAGGCACAGCCATCAGAGTTCTGGGCAAAAGGCATCCAAACTTTGCCGGATCGTTGGCAAGAAGTCTTAGATACTAATGTTAATTACATCATTGACTAAACTTTTTTTATTGTAATAATAATAAAAAAGTAAAAACTTAAACCAAGTGTCTCATTACTTTTGTGCCAACCCGATATATCTATCTATATAAATAAAAATCAAATGCTGTTAATTTGTCTCGCTAAAACTGAAGAATAGCTAGCCCGATTTAGCCGAGTTTTTAAATTTTAAAAGACACCGACATATTCGTAATATGTCTATCTATACAAATAAAAATAATTGCTGTTAATTTGTCTCTCTAAAACTTATGAATAGCTAGCCCGATTTAGCCGAGTTTTTTTAATTTTAAATGTTTTTCATAGTCCAGGGGAGGTGAGAGGTGATATGAAGTACACCGGCTCGTCAACTAAATAAATAAATTATTAGACAAAATCACAGACTTTGCTCACATACCGAGATGAGCAGCTAAAGCCCTTGTATTATGGAGTATCTGAGACAGCGAAGGTACCATAATACAGAAACCCGACACAATATAGCTTTTCTTAGATTGTCAAGAGATGGCGACACCTTCAAACCGGACGTCTATTCACACTGTCTGGTATATAGCCACAGACAACGTACAAACAAACGAGGTTATGGTCCCTTTCCCGCGTTCCTATATATATAAATACGCTAATCATACACTATATAGAAGAATATTATTTGGTCTGTTCTGGAACGTGTCTGGCTCGTTTAATGTCGTTAAATATAAAGGAAATTTTATCGAAATGTCTAACTATAATTAACGTTTTTAATGTTGACAGACGCTGATTCAAAGCCGCCATTTTGAAAATAATAAAGAACCGGTAGTACAAGTAAACTCCATCGGTACTATTAATAAACAAGTCAGAGTAAATTTACGCTAAAATTGCAATCTTAGTATTAGTCCAAATTCATATTATACAGAGAATAAGAGAACCTAGTACCTTCTAGGAGTAAATATTAGGTACTCCCGTAGAGCCTAGTACTAGGTTAACCTTTGCCAAGTCTCTGTTTAATAATATAAATTTTGACTATTACTAAGCGCAGTCTCAGCATAAATTTACTTCAACACTAAACCTCATTTATTAATAACACTGTATAAGAAGATATTGAAAACCTGCAACATACATTTATCAGCCCTTACGGTTTACAATTATTTTATTATACAAGTCTTACGTTTTACGTATTCATATCTTAATTAACACAATATTTTGACCAGTTTTCAACTAAACGTTCAGAGGTACAAAAAAGATATTGTTTTTCCTAAAAACAATAACATTTATCAAATGAGTTGCAGAGTAAAAAATTTATATTTAAAGCATCCATACTCGGTAGCGGGGTACATATACCGAAATGCCCTTTTATCATTTTACTAATACGATCGTCACACGGTCGCACCGTAGAATCGGACGTAACAACAGTGTACGTGAAAAATTGATATTACCAAAATTTTCAGAAGCACTGGTTACCTTCGCTTCTAGTGTTCAAGAAATCCACCCAAAACAGCCGAAAAAAAAATATATCAAATATTTTTTCATTGTCCATATTTTGTGCACATTTTAAAGATTACAAAAAAAATAATAATAAACTTAAAATCAAACTTTCTTAATGAACGAGAATAAATAAAATTTAATGTAACATATTATAAACATTACTTCTACGGCGTGACAGCGTATCGATCGCACCAATATGTATTCACCTATACCGTATTTTTACACTTTTGGTCCTGTATTTACACAATATAATATAAATTCAAATTTAACTATATATTTACAATGTACGAACGTTATTTACGTCCGATACAATTATTTTACTAGAGTCGATACATTCGTATCTACCTACCATACCGAGGTATTCATAATTTTCGTTACACTTATATTTCCCTTGTGTTGTATTTTTTTTTTTACAATGGCAACACTTTAGGTTTATAAATGGTTCACGAATAAGGGAGTTAGGTATAAACGGGGACTATTTATAATATAATCTGTCGGGATTCGAGTTGTTTATCGCAACAATTCCCATTGTGCGTCAACTGCTCCCGTAATAATCGGGGTCATCTATCACTGATTGCTCTCAGAGTGTGATATGCCAAATTGATCGTTGCCATTACGCGCAACCGGCGTCATATCTATCAACATATTACATACAACCTAACTAACGTTCATAAAGTCTATATTTGTACAATTACAATGATTGCTTTGAAATGGTCGCTTATCTAATCTTTGACGCCGCCGTACAATTTGTATCGTGCCTTTTATTAAAAAAAGAACAATTATATATTGACATGAGATTTTGAACCTTACAATATAAGCAGCAAATGTGAAATTAGATTTAATGGCAGTGCTTGACTTTGTTATAATACCCAAAATTCATTTACACAAAAAAATTTCAATTTTGAACCTTACTACTTAGCACTGAAGAGGCACTGACTGCCAACTGGCGCACCCTCAACTCTTCTACATAGTGTATAAGTAACCGGTATTTAAAGTTCCTCCTATATGTACATTTCAGCTAACGGCATATTTTAAAAAATGTGGTATTAGTTATTACGTTTAGAACTATATTTACAAGGGCAAACTATTGCTTTTCGAATGTCTCACAACCGAAATCGGAAGTTCATTAAAAAGCAAATCAGAAACTGTAGGTATGGGACTAACGCTATCATACTCACAACCAACACAGTATAGTTTACGAGAGCTACACGCCAGCATATGCCACGCCATTATTATATACAAACACAAAATGTTAATAAAAGGACGCAAACCCCCATAGATTACTATTGTAAATCGAATCGTATTACGTTGAAATACGTTTCAGAAATAATTGATATCGAGATAGCGATAAGTTTTCGAATGAATTATTACGCAAGAAAATGCTGATTGAAAGTTGGTGTGCGGAATCTTGACCAGGTCAATTATTATGAGTTGTATTGTGATCATAATAAAAATTACTTTATAATTTTGTGTCGATATTAGTATATAATACTAACTATTAATTGCTTTTTTTTATAAAAAGAATAACCTATGTAAAATGCTTTGTTCTTCACAAGACCTGAAACTATCTCTAAATCGAATAAAAAAGACCATAACTGAAAAAACAGAATAACTATCGAATCATGTATGTTAATCTTATTTGCACATGCGAACTTAATGGTGAGAAAAGTCAAATAGTATCTTATTTGACTTTTCTTAAAGTCAACGGTTCTCCATTTACCATAGATTCAGTATAACGCGATTTTAAACTTTATCTCAAAGAAACAAGATGAAAATAAATATAAAATTTTGAAAGCCATATGTGTTCTAGACTCAAGACTCAACGTTTTCTAGATCTGTGATTGATCAATGATTGGCATAGACAATAGTATATCGTTCATCCAGCAAAACAACGACACATTAGTAAAAACGTTAAGAAATACTTTTGGATATTATTAATCAGTATCAGTAGCAAGTGTATCTAAGGAATACATAAATAACAAATGTATACTTCCAAATACGTAAAATACTTTTTTTCTGGACATAAATTCTGCAGTAATTCTATAATAGATTGATACTTAGTAAATAATTCTTTTAGTTTTTGCAATTATGTAGTTGTTCTGCTAAATGAGTGACATCTAAACTATTTGCCCAAGAAATGGAGCTGGAACTTCTACTCTTATTCTTTGTGTAATCTCCCTTTTTTTCTATCTTTATCAAACGTTAACCAATATAAATGTATAATTGACTGAAAGTTTCCTATCATCATTTAGAACAACTCCAAGTTATGTGTCGTCGGACAGTTTGGATAAATATTGGCTAAATAATCAAATCACTGTGACATGTAACAAATTGAGTAGGATTATTTTACAAAATAATAGTATTACTTAGACATTGTATCCTGAGCCTTGACCCTTTTGCATTGCTGCAACACACAACCGACATATTTTCTTGTTTTTCATTTGTTTTTTTTTATTGTTTTTTTTATCTTAATCAGTTGTAAATTAGAATGTATTGTTGGAAATGCAAATAAAGTTTATTATTAATATTATTATTACATAGGCGTTGTGTAGGATTGAGTTGGTCAGGATTATAAAACACCAACAAAGTCGCAGTACTAGATAAATTACTAATGCATCTGTCCGCCATTTTGGTGACGTAATTGACAGTTGTGTTGCAATATTCAGTACGGGTAACAAATAAATACTGGCTGGCTAGTACGCGTAGTGAATTGGGTACAGCAAGGTTGATGGAATCGTGATGTTAAAGCAGAGATCAATTGATCAACATAATCCACAATAGACGAAACTTATTCGTCTAATTCGTTAGGTGACTATTAAGAAACGCTTTAACAAAGATACATTACTGACAAAAGAATAAAACGATGCGCAATCACCAACCGACTATCTCGCTCTCTTTTATGCGCCACAAAACAGACTTTATCCATTAAATACAGAATAGATTCTCCTCAAACATGTGTTAAAAAGATCTCAGACCTTTTGAAAACTAAACTCGTAAAGGTAACTTCAGTATATTCCGTAAAAATTAAATATGGAATTCTACAAGGTTTTTTTAAACAGTGCACAAATTTTAATTATTTTCTTCCTTGTTGTAAATCATAAGTTTTATCTTTTTTTTATCAGAGATAAAGTTAAAAAGAGAGGCGTCTTTAAACACATTGCTACTTATGGTCACCCTACTGTGCAAGGTTAATGACCGACTTTTATAGACTTACCTGCACTTTGTTTATTACATATTAAAACGTTCATAATTATTAAAGTAAACGTTAATATTTAAATTATATGTGCACTGATTAAAAACTTACTCTATATAGCACTTACAGACCCATCGGTTGGTAGTCAGTCTAATCTACGCTTCCGTGGCGACCGGTTCTCTGGCGTGGTGTATTTTCAGATGTTTGTTGTGATTAGATTTGTTGCTCGACGTCTTCCCACATATGTGACAGGAAAACGGCCGCACCCCGCTATGGACCTTCATGTGTTCCGATAAATAATAACTTCTGTGGAACGACTTACCGCACTCCGGCACCTGAGGAAAGTGTATAAGTGAAAAAGAAGGATAAGTGTCTTAACTCGCACGAATTAACATGACACATGCCCTGCGATTGTGTGAAAATCCAAACCTGAATTCGAATCCACTCTGGAGTCCAATTTCATTTCAAAACGCAGAAGTGGTAATAGAGGTAAAGTGAGTTTCGAAATGGGAGTAGAATGTCTGAGGCACGTATATTCAATCAATTTTGTTTTGTAATTTTATACAAAAAATGGAATCAATAGAATTTCTACACTAAATGACCTGAATTCAGACACATGAGTGAATTCTATTTCGGGGTCTGGATTTTTAAAGAATCGCAGGGTAGAGATTTTCCGAATTTTCGTTAGGACACAAACAGAATAGCTGTTTGTGTCCTAACGAAAATTCGGAAAATTTAGAATCCTTCGAATTAAAAAAGAAACTATAAATAAATCGTTAGAAATACTGTTTTCTTATGCAGTACAAGAGCTTATATTACACACTTTTCAAGCGTATATAACGAATACTAGCTAATGTGAAATAACAAAACAAAACTTAATTATTTCTCGAAATCGTTCATAGTAAGTAACATTCATGACTATCATAGTAAATAATATAAAACGCAAGGTTTAAACTTAAGTCGTCTACAAACTTCCATTAAAATTGTCATTAATTTAAAGTCACTTATAAACAATTGCACAAACATCCATTAAAATTGTCTTTCGTTTAAAGCGACATTACCAATACAAATTTGACATTCATTAAAGCTTAAAGGTGTCATTAAACCTTAATGGACGTTTATGAAACTGACCGATTACCGATACAAATTTTCAAATTTAGGACACTAATCAAAGCTCAAAGTCGTCATTAAGCCTTAGTGCACGTTTGTGCTTTTGACCGTGAAATTTTAAATGACTCTAGTGAAAAGTTGATCAGATTGGAGATGTCTATGTGTGTGTGTGTGTGTACGTGTTTACCTTGCATACGTATTTCTTGTCGTTCTCGTGCTCGCGCACGTGCCGCTGGCAGTTGTACTTGCGTATGAACTGGCAGCCGCAGTAGTTGCACGTGTAGGGCCGCACCGCGCGGTGCGCGTTCATGTGCGCCACGTACTCCGCGTGCCGGATGAACGCGCCCTTACAACAGAACACAACATCACACCATCACATAACATATATTACTATTATGGTAACTTCTATTTGAATCGTGATTAGATAGAGATGAAGTGTGGGAGTACTGATCTTGCACAGAGTGCAGGTGAGGGTGTAGTGACCTTGCAGTGTGCAGGTGTGGATATAGTGAGCTTGCATAGTGTGCAGGTGTGGGTGTAGTGAGTTTGCACAGTATGCAGCACGCGTAGCATGACGAACGCGAGAACGTTTTGTCTACACTCAAATGTCACTTTTCTCGGATGCGCCCATACGATATCTCACTATCGACCCAAGAAACTGACAAATGAGTGTAGACAAAGCGTTTCTCGAGTTTGTCATGCTACGCGTGCAGGTGTGGGTGTAGTGACCTTACAGTGTGCAGGTGTGGATATAGTGAGCTTGCATAGTGTGCAGGTGTGGGTGTAGTGACCTTGCAGTGTGCAGGTGTGCGTGTACTGACCTTGCACAGTGTGCAGGCGTGCGTGTATACTGACCTTGCAGAGTGTGCAGCGGTACGGCTTGTAGGAGCGCGTCATGTGCGTCCAGCGGTGCAGCTTGAGGTTCCACTTGGTGGTGAACGCCTTGCTGCAGATGACGCACACGTGCGCGCGCGACCCGCTGTGCGTCAGCAGGTGCGCGCGCAGATTCGTGCGGAGGTATATCTGTTATGCATTAATGTATATGCAAAATCTTCCCGTGTAACAAATTATATGGAGGGTTATAATTGGCAAAATGTATTCATATTTCTAAGGAAATTTACTTATTTTCCGTAATCCCTACAATGTAGTCTAATTAAGATTTCTCTAAAGCCGACTAATTATTGCTTAAAACAATATAATATTTTGGTATCGTAACACGACCTTCTTAGACTCTATTTCATAAATCTACAGTTGACTAGCAGAGTGTCTAACGGTATTAAATCCAACAATTGTACGTTCACCTGAGCCATAAATTTATACCAATAAAATGTGACCTGACCGACGCATACAAACCACAGAGGTCTCTTTCATGTCGCAAGTGAGCATTAAATAAGCGAGGCGGCAAGTTATTTCCATAGCGTTATGTCATATGGCATTCTGATGTGGGGTATGACTGCAGTAAACTTACCCTTGCCGAAATTTAAAACTCATAAATTTCGGCAAATCGTATATTTACCGTACCATTAAAATGTGGAACAATCTCCCATCCCACGTATATCCAATTAAATATAACCTTGGATACCTCAAGAGATGTGAAAAGGCTCTTTAATAGGGCGGCAAGATAGTGGTGGCTACCGGGAGTAGTATTAAGTGACTTATAATTTTATAACGCACAACGCACCTGTTTGCACACCGGGCACGGAACGTTCTCGGCCTTGCCCTTCTGCTTGTCGGCGAGGTAGTAGACGTTGTGCGTGCGGCGCACGTGGCGCGTGAGCGAGGCCGCGTGCACGAACTTGTCGCTGCAGTAGGGGCAGGCGCGCGGCCGCGGCTCGTGCGTCTCGCGGTGCCACTGCAGCTTGGCGCGCGACTGGAACACCGCGCCGCACTGGCACACGAAGTCGCGCACCTTCGGCTTCTTTTGGAAGTGGTGCCGGTCCCTACGCACGTATGTTTCAAAGTCAAACTCAAAATAATATTTTCGATGCATTGTAAACACCGAAAGTGAGTCTTTAAACACGTGTTAAATAAAAATGTACTGAAATCCTTTACTGCACACGCGCTTAAAAGTATTTTTTTTGGCCGAGCACCAAAGAAATTGAAAAAAAAAATATGAAAATATGTCAAACTTTAGAGGCAAAATTATTTCAAGGAGCCTAGAACGAATATTTTCAAATAAAAATGTATGACACGAAAACATGTTCAAATATCACGTTTAATTTTAACAAATAATTTTCGCACTGGGCAGCGTGGAGGGTCATGGCCCAGCCTCCTTAGCCATCCATGGGAAAGGCCTGAGCCCCTGCAGTGGGGCGTAGAAGGGCTGATGATGATGAAATATTCTTAATGAGTAATGCTTAAATACCTATAACCATTAGCAATCTGGATGACTGATCTAAACACTGAGCTACCATCTTAATTGAAAGTTTAAATATTTCATATGTTTGTTTGTGTAGATTGCCTGAACATAAATGACACGCTCTGTAGTAGCGAAAACATGCTTGAGAAATTCGTATCCTGTTACGGTCTGGATAGCTCATTGGTTAGAACAATCGCTCGGATTGCGAAAGGGAAGGTTCGAGTCCCGTCTCAGACTGCCAGGGACAAAGTGGATTTTTTAAGCATTTTTCAATAAAAATACGTACTTTTGAATTTTTTGCGTAATCAATAAATTAGAGCGATATATTGAGTTGATGTGTCGCATGACGTCGCGCTTTTGTACGTTTTCTACAAAACTGTGACGTAGCGAGTCCCCCCTCGAATTTAATGCTTATTATCTGAGCCATTTTCCTACTATCTGACTAACGGACTGAATAGAATTTCTTTTTTTTCGACCCAGTCATCATGTCTTTTTTAATTAATTGGCAACTCGACAGTTATATCGATAAATTATGTTATATAATAATATACAATATATATGATATATAATATGTTGGAATGGTAACTTATGTGTAAACGCTAACTATTAAGTATTTTTCTGTTTTGAAAGAAAATGTATGTATATTTTGTTTCTTGCTATTCATAATCTGAAGGTTACAAGATACAAAACGCGGACGGCCATGACGGAGCGACGTGTGACGTCACATTTCTATAATGAAATTTATAAAGTGTCCTTCATTGAATTATGTGACAATCACAAAGTTGCCATTAAATGTTACCATTTTTTCCTTTTCTATTTATAATTACAGATCAACATATCGCACTCCCGGTGCGACACTGTCACTTTTGCAAAAAATACAAAAATTAGTTAAATATGTAATAATTGTCCTAAAGCCCCCTTTACTTGGTGCGATAATAATGTTACTTTTGTAGATGAATCATACGGAACTATGTTCTAAAGTCATTGTTTTGTGAGGTGGCAGAGTTTCTCCTGAAAAACTAAATTTTTGCATAAGTGACAGTGTCGCACCGAGAGTGCGATATGTGTAGCAAAGGAAAACTTTGTAGCAGAGCGAATCATACAGCACTATCTTCATAGTTTAATTCATTACTCACAAAGCCAATTTATCTCATTACCGGGCGCAATGAGATAAAAAATTGTTTACTACATGTGCTAGTGCTGCCATGTACGCAGAGTACAGTGTTATGATATTTCAACATATTTAGATGTGTATTCTGCAAAACTGTTCGATTCTAATCTGACCTGTGTTGGAGCATGTTCGAGTATCTCCGGAAGGTTTCATCACAGATCGTGCACTTGACAGGCGTTCGGCCCGTGTGTATGTTGTGGTGTTCCATCAACTTCTGCTTTGTTATAAAACGTTTCTCGCATACTTCACATCTGATTGAGAAAAAAAAACAACATTCAATATGATCATATGGAGCTGCAAAATATAATTTTCAAAAAAATATTACTATAATGAGGGAAAAACGAAAGAACGTCGTAGGGAAAAAAACGAAAGCCCTAAAAAAGCACCTCCACTAGATGGCGACTCTAGCAAAAGTTGATTTTTGTGGGAAAAGAATGGACCAAAGACAGTCATTTCCGTTCCTTTTAACTAACATATTAAAAAACTGAAATTTGAAAAGTTCAAAACTTAGATATAGATACAAATACGAAAAATTACAAATAGAATATTGTTTATTGAGATTTAAAAACTAATTTACTTATAAAGATGAAAGAAACCAGAAGGGTTATCATGGAGAAATCAAGAACATATCGTAGCGACATCTAGTTTGATTTCGGGAACTAATGTTTTTTTTAAATACTTCCTCATTACTGTTAAGTATTTTCAAATTTAAAAGAAATATCAGAAAATCGAGCAATCGACCCTCCCTGCGGTGGTGGATTGAGCAAACTAGGAGTAATTGTAGAGTAATTCTAGGAGTATAGTAGTAAAGGTGGTGGATTGAGCAAACTAGGGGATACAAAGTATCTACTAAATAAAATCAAATTTAAATCTCTCCTTTACGGTTGTCTTAATGACTTCTGAATGTCTCCTTTACAGAAACGACACCTTCGTCAGTAATCTCGCACCGCGCTGAGAAGGAAGTTTTTGGAAGGCGGCGAAAAACATTTTTCATGATGGGTCGTAGGGGTAATAATTAGAAGGCCGCGATATTACAAAGGAACGCGACAGTTGATGGAAAAATAGTACTGATTCATGACCGGTCCTACGTTATCCTTGGCGAAAATACCCTTGGCACTTATTTTAATGTATGTTCCTGATTCTGTATAAATAAAAGCAGTGGTTCAGGTTAAAAAAACAGGCACACTCCTATCCTATAAACGGAATCGGTTAGGGCAAATAGGAAATAACACACTATGCGGGCTCACTGCAGATTTGTGGATGTTGACGTGAAATTATAATTAAAAGACAATTAAAGTTTACAGATCAATCAATTTTCTATATTGTCTCGGGTCTGTTGTGGTAGGTTTGTTGTCTCAGATACTCCATAATACTAGAATTTAGTTGCTCATCTTGGATTTGAAACGATGTATGTAATGTCGGCTAATATTTATTTATTTTAAAAATGTATTCTATTTACACTCACTTAAAGTTCTTGATACCCAAGTGAGTCTTGATGTGCAACGCCAAGTTCGCTCGCCGGAAGAAACATTTGCCGCAAGTGAGACACTCGAGCGGGTGTATTTTGAGATGAGCGTGGAACGCTGCGTCCGTCAACTGATCCACCTGTACATGATTCACCAGCTAATATTAAGGAACTTTTTAAATTTCTTCATAAAGCACACACTTGAGTTGAATTATATAATTAATAAATTGTTTACAGTCCAAGCTTCTTTGGAATGCATTGCCAGAAGAGATCAGGCGTGCTCAAAGCATACACATTTTAAAAGGACTAGACAAACATATATTGCGATCTATATGTTTCTGTAATAAGAACCGAAAAGCGGGCGGCCATGACGGAGCATCGCGTGACGTCACATTTCAATAAACTAAATGTCAATGTCTTTATTGCGAGTACCAAAAAGTACAGTACTCAAGTTTATTGAAAGACACCACGCCTCGAAATTTGACCATTTATATTAATGAATATAAATGTTTTACCCAAATTTAATAACACTTTTTTAAGAAAAATAAACATTATAGATATTTTAATAGGACTTTTCTCGTGTAGTCAATATCGAGGTGCGGCAAATGTACATGGATTTCTAGATTTTAGTGATATTTTTACCTTCATAATATCATTGCACAAACCTTGCATGTAGGGCAGACGTAATCACGTCTCCTTCTCTGCTTGGGCTCCTGTTTAATGATCTCTCCCTCTATCTTAGGCTTGGCCTCCGACATCGCATCATAAACTTGTAACATTGTAGTCGCTATCGACTCCTTCGAGTCTATGGGCATCATACTAGCTGCCGCTATTCAAACCAAAAAGGCGCTTTGAATAAAAATACAAACATCTTCACTAATATGGCGGAAAGATGATACTGTTTTTGATAATCTAATCTTTTTATAATTTAATTTATTTCAGGACCACTGTATTAAAATGCACGGTTGATTTAACTTTTGTCATACCAACAGGAAAAATTTGCTGTTATCATTAAAACATGCCTGAAGTCACTTTATTCATTGCATTAGCACGTGTTATAACAGGCAAAATTTACGTTATTAATGACGCCTATTGCAAATAATATAATAATTATTCGCCAATATATAAAACTACGCCAATATATTCTAACTACTTTATCAATATAAATGTAAACAAGTGCAGTGTTTTATGTAATACAATACCTTGTAGTGCTGTTTCATCAGGTTTCTCCTCTTTCTTGATGGCGCGCGCGGTCAGCATGCGACTGTACGTTTTCTCCGCGGGTTCAGATAGCGGGTGCGAACTCGATTTGTGCGCTCGCAACTCTTTGGCGGACGCAAACTTTGCACCACAATGCGCGCAAGCATTACCACGCACTTTCGGATACAATTCCTCATCTCTAAAATAATGTATTACATACAATCAAAACTATATACGAGAATGAGTGACTTTGATAGACATTTACCATTTTATTATGAAACGAGAAATAAAGTTAGTATTTAACATGGTTTAATGCACTGTCAGTGTTATTAATAAACAAGGTTTAGCGTTCGAGTAAATTTACGCTGAGACTGCACTAAGTATAAGTCAAAATTTATATTATTAAACAGAGACTTGGCAAAGGTTAACCTAGTACGAGGTTCTGCAGCAGTAATATTTACTCCTAGAAGAGGTAGTCAGCATATTCTCTGTATAAAGGCTCCCCCACACAGGCACGTTATTACAGGTCGATAATATCGCAAGCGGTATTGCGTTAATGCGTCCCGATTCCTTACATTCTTTGCACACAACTGCATTTTTATCGTCCGATGTTTTTAACGAGAGAGTAACGTTATTATCGCAGGTGTGTGTACGGTCGTTTGCGTCCTGATAGAAAACATTCTAGAACTTATATCGGAATATCGCAGGACGGAGAAACGCAACGTCCTACTTCTTGTGGCGTTATTATCGCAGCAGTGTGTAACTACATGACCATCCTAATACAAAATGCACTGAAAATAGATATCGCAGTAACGCATGCGATATTATCGACCTATAATAACGCGCCTGTGTGGGGCAGCCTTTATATGAATTTGGACTTGTTTATTAATATCACTGTGTGTGCCTAAAGTACATTGACAAAGACAGAATTGAAAACTATAAATTACTTACTTTGGTTGGACAATGGTTTAAACCTGGTATTTTGGTGTTAGTCCCCATTTCATAATAAGATGGATAATTGACAAACATTATTTTTCTGTGACAGATTATTTGATAGAAATAACCTATGTAACATTATTTGTATTTATGCTAAATCTGCTAACTAATTAAATGACGACGAAAAAGCGCTTTCCAAGTATTTATGGTTGTATAGATAAATTCATATTTAAAGTTTGTGATAAATGTTAAAAAAAAGACTTACAAATTATCCCGCTTTTCATTTGGATCCATTTCAGAGCCATCAGACACCCAACTCTCACGTGCTATCAAATCATAAGGCTCCGCTGGCGGTATGTCTTGGTATATCTATACAAAAAGTTATTTTAAATAAGTAAATTGATCTAATCGTAATGTGGTGATTTATTGAAAATTGTTTTGATGAAAAAGATCTATCTTCTTCATTGTGTTATTAGAATTTAAAAAAAAAACATCACAACCTAAATCTAGCCAAAATATCATTCTAATATATTAGGTAAAAAATTATTAAATTTCATCTGTAAGCTTTTAAAATGTGATAATATAGAAGAGATTTTGGCTGTTTCTGTTCTCACCCCACTCCAAGATGATTCCATGTCACCGTTGCTTTCCTGGCCGCTGAGCTCGCCGCGGGGCGGCATGCGCTCATCGGCACAGATATTCAAAGGCGGCTCGCTCTGCCCTTCGCTCAGCACGTCGGTCTTGCTGTCGCGGTCACCTTCCAAATGTCCAGACCTATTACCCACATCTGAATAATCAATCCCGTTACTGTCAGCAATCTTATAACTCTCATGTATGAAATTCGGTAAAACGAATTCACTCTCTTTGTGTGATGATTCACCCCAAATGTACATACCATCTTTTGGACCTTCCTTTGAGAAACCCGCCCTCTCTGAATCTAGTGATTCCCTTTCAGGCGTAAAGTAATCTGCATAGATATTATCCCCAAAATAATTTTCATTCATCATACTAACAAACTGCTTATTCTTGGATGAGGCTTCTAATTCCAAAAGTTCTCTATGGTTGGAGTCATCATCAAAATCTCCCGGCGCCATATTACCATATGTGATAACATTAATTGGGCGTAAAGTTTCTAAGGGTGTCATACTGCCGCGATTTGTGAGACTATTTTCATTATTGCTGAAGCCATCTTCATTACTAGTGTTTGCCTCCTCTTTTACTTGAACCACCTCAACACTAGTTGTTAATTTATCATGTAAAGAGCTAGATGAAGCCACAGGCTCAATATCCATAGATTGCTCCTCAGTGTCAGCATCAAAACCATGGTGATCATCATCATTCAATATTGTAATCTGTTCAACAGATATTGTATTTAAAGTACTCAACTTCTCTTGGATTTCATTATTCTCTGTATGATTAAGTTTGGTTATAGAATAGTTTTCTGGTGATCTGCAAGATGATGAGGACGCTCTAGGTTCAGTTTCACTCTGTATCGAGCTGTTAGTAACAGGAAAGGTCTTAACATTTTTAATCTGTAAAATTTTCTTGTGCTTCTTTACAAATATATTGTTTAACCTCAAAGCATTATGTCTATAAGTCTTCGGTTGAAGAGTTTTCTTTTCAAATGTGTTATCTACATTCACTTGTTGATTGTTATGGGACGATGAAGGACTAATAGAAGTATGATCTATGGAATTCTCTCCATTTTCAGACAACTCACTACATGGTGATATTGATGGTTTCTCATTACATATCAAATCAGGAACAGGACAACTGTCTGAAAACTCAGTTTCAATCTTACTATCCATTACACTAGATTTAGATTCTTTGTATGAAGGTGGATTTCCCACGTTCTTTATAACAGAGAATGTATGGGAGACTATACTGTCACTGCTTGATATTGATGGTTGGGTACAATCATCAGACAAAATCTGACTGTTATCAATATTATCATTGTTTTCATCTAAATCAGGTAGAATTTTTTCTGGAGTAATGGGCCTTTCTACATATTCTGATTCATTTGGGCCAGTCAAATCCATGACAGTGTTCAACATATTTTTATTATGTTGAACTGGTACCTCCACTTTAATATTACTTAGAATTTTCAGTCCTTTGCTAGGACCAGGTGTTTCACTTTTCTCCAGCTTGTCCCTCTTATCAGATTTATCTGTTTTATTAATATTTGTTTGTGTGGTTATAGAACTAGTACTTGCTAAAGCAGTTTCTGAAGTAGGGGGCACAATGGGACCAACTTCAATTATCAATGTTTTATTACAATCATTTGTATTAGGCATTGTCTTTTCAACATGTGCTGTTGTACTGCTCGGTATATGTGTAATGTTATCACCATAGATTGACGAAGTACATGGTTTTGTTACAACTTGTGGAGGTGTAGTATACATACAAGAAGCATTCCCCAGTTGATCTAAAACCATAACATTTTGATACATAGAAGTACCTTGAGAGACATTAGTCACATTTTCACGGCTAAGTACTGAAGGCACACATGAAATAAATCTCTTACCATCAATGTTATGAACCATTTCTCTATAAATAATCTGAGAATTTTGTACGACTGTAGTTCCTGGTGTGAAAGTGCTACTTGTCATTTGATTAAACTGATTTGTGGATAAAGGAGGTGGGACCGCTTTACTATCTACCATTTGCGTACCGGGGATGCTACTTGTCATTATCATATTATTTTGTACATTTTTTTGAACAAAAGTTGGTGTTGTAGGTACCATAACGTGCATTGGCTTCACTCCTGGAGTTATGTACTGCACCCCGCCAACATTTGTCTTTACAAGTATATTATTTGGTTTTGGTAACACTTTCACAATAGTTTCATTCCCTCTGCTAGGCGCAGGTACTAATGTAGTTTGTAACTTCACACCAGAGCTTGCTACTGGCATAGTATGAGTAAAAACAGTGCTACTACTATCTAATGAAGAATACTCTGCACTTCGTGAATATTTTATTTCCCTATCTTCTGGAGAGTCTTGGTAATAAGCATACTGTTGATCAAATTCAGAGAGTGTTGGTATGCCTGGATAGGTTGACTGATGTTTATCATTTTTTATAGAATAAGGAGGCCCAACCCCATAAGGAACAGAGTTTGTTATGTTATTCTCATAATTAATGTCACCAATTCTAGGATCAGGTGTACCAATACGAGAATTTGTAAGGATCTGACTGGACTTTGATGCTCTGCTGGGAGTTCTCCTCCAGTATCTATCATTATCGCTACCTCGATGAGAACTAGTCCACCGATCCTCTGTTGCCGGAGTACGAGATCTACTTCTGTAAGACCGCTCCGAATGTAGTGGAGTTGAAGTTCGACTTCCATAACTACTGCCACTTTTATTTGCAAGACTGCATAAAGCTTTTATAACTTGATCTTTGGGATGAGTATCTAAATGAGACTCTAAACTCATGCCATTGTGTAAATAAAGTGTGCACACGGGACACTGCACCAGTTGTTCCATATTTGCAGAATGTAGTTCACCAGCCTGGTGAAACATTTACTGCAACGCGATCAAAGCAAGCGCGCAAGGTTATAATGCGCACTTAGTCCGAGCCACGGTTTCACACTTCGGTCGTGACATGCATATCTTCGTGTCGCACGATAAACCTCTCTACGATCCTCAACAATACATAATCTTCTTCTCGAGTATCTTCTTATCGATCTGTCGGACCAAATAAATCTATTTATACGCGCTATTTAATAACTACACTGCTATAATACTATAAACTTGTTTGTATGTTGAAACAGAGGACAAAAGAAACAAAACTGCAAGATAAAGGCCATTGAGACAAAAAAGTACATTGTGTTTGTGAAGGAAAAAACGTTCAATATAATACAAACGCTGGTAGATATTAATACCTGATCACAATAATTGTCATGGGTACTCCATATTATTGACAACTTAGAGAAAATCAAATAATTCATAAGATCCTAAGTAAATCTAAAAATATTTTCGAATAGTCAGACATATTGCAGACATCTCCTTCACTGCTACACAAAACGACGCGTTCCAATACACGGAGTAAAATGTCGATATGTGTTTCGTGGCAGCTACTGTAGTATTTTCGTATGTATAAAATTTCAACATATTTGAACATTGTATGCGTATAAAGAAAAAACCAGAGAGAAAAGAGTAATAATTTAATTATAGCAAAGGGATCTTAGGCCCTATAGCGTGATCTTCCGTATTTCATTGTTTTTTTTTTAAGTATATCTACAAGAAACATGTTTCATTATTCCCTATTTTGGGTTATTACAACCCGTTTCCTACCAGTGACCTTCTTCAAATCATCGTGTGACTTTACTGAGAGTCTTTCTACACCACGCTTGCCGTTTCTCGGTCTCCTTCCGGAACTCGCTTACCCCACCGGTTATCGCTTCGTCAACAGATATGGCCAGCCCATTGCCACTTTAGCTCACTAATCCTGTGTGCTATGTCGATGACTTTGGTCCTTTGTCGGATAACCTCGTTACGAATTTTAAGCCTTCGAGAAACTCCGAGCATAATAACACATTCCATAGCTCACTGTGCGAATTTGAACTGGTGGATCCACCGTACTATGAGTGTCCCCGTTTCAGCGCCGTAGGTCATGATGGGTAGGATGCACTGATCGAAATCTTGAAACTTCAAGCATTGAGGCAGAGATAAGTAGCTTACCAAACGCCAGGCCAAGCCGGATCCTCCTTTTAGCGTCCTTTTCGAAATTGCTTCAACTTAGCTGCAGAATCTGCCTAAGGTAAGTATATCCAGAAACTTGTTCATTTAAAATAATAGGTCTTGGATCTAAGTGGTTGGTGATCATTATTTTGATTTTATATAGGTTCATTAAAGCCCTAATCGTTGTTAGACTAATGCCAAACCATTCAGAATCTTTTGCAGCTCAGTCAGCGCTGCAGCCATTAACATAATATCGTCTTCAAATCGCAAGTGCGAGATGTAATCGACATTTATATAAATACCTGTGGCGACTCATGCATGGCAGTTTTACCAAAGAGGCTGCGTCATGCATGTCTCGCCAGAGCTTTACACACAGATTATAACAAGAACAAAATGTCGGTGTTTGGTTATGTAAACAAAAAGTTAATTTACTGTCTTATGTGATATTTACATAAACATTATAACGAGTGTATCGTCTTTTATTTTAATTAAGAAGAGTCAATAATCTCTTCATACCCATACCTTTCCAGTCAAGCATCTTGTACATATACTCCAATGCGCTTTTAAACAGTTTCAGAGATCCACTATGAGTGTACAAGTACTGAATCAGAAATTTGAGCCCATGACCGACTCGTTGGCAACCAATGTAGATGACACACCTCAACGTCCCTGACCATTATAACTAACCATGGTTGGACCTCAGATTGGCAACCAGTGGAAACGGCTTAGTGAAAAAGAGAATAAAAAGTGTTGATTAACGTGTGAGTTTTTAAAATTTTTGTTATTGACTGTGTATCAGTATAATATTGTAATCTTTGACTGTGTACGTCTAAAGACTAAAGACCACCAAAGTGACATTGGCGGAATAGTGTAAACGTATTTGTGCGCAAATCATATACCTATGAATCAAAAAGGCTATAGTCATCTTTCATTCATTTCATTTTCAATTTAATTGTGCGAAATGCGCAGATAAGTCATTAATGAAAGAAAAAAAATAGGCTATGAGTTTATGAATTAAAAAGGAAGGAGAATTGTGCAGGAGAAAGTGTTATTGTTTCTTTTAAAACCAAATTTTATTGAGTGTTAACCAAACTTTTATGATTTATTATTGGAGTCAACAAAAAGTTGTAAATATAGGTTTGTTCAGTGTCACAGCATAATAGAAAAGCAAATTAATAAAAATGTCACTGTTCATGAAAATTATTTCGAAAGAATTCACCGAAAAAGGTTAGTAGATAGATATTTAAATTCATTCATAATTTCTATATTAAGGTTATACAGTTTGACGATTACATTTCAAAGGCATATATTTGACAGTACAATCAACAGTACGTCATGTTAGTAACTATATATTGTGTCTCTCCCTTCCAGGTAAGACAACAGTTTCTAAATTATCAAAGTTCAAAATTAAATTGAGCTTTCACTATACTTTATATGATAATAAACATGTTTTCCAGAAAAATATTTCCATATATTACCGTTTATATTTCAGAAAAATATAAATAAGAGAAATATAAAAAGAAATAACTAATAAAGAGTATCACTAAATAATTAGTGATACTCAGTGCTAAAGTTTAACATCCATTAAAATTTTCATTACTTTAAAGAGACATTCCCCATATAATTTAGACATTCATTAGAGCTTCAAGGCATAATTAAACCTTAATGAACATTTGTGCAACTGACAGTTACAAATTAACAGCAGTTAATTCATCATATAAACCTTTTACAGATATATGTTTAGCAGCCTCGCAAGCAGCAATATACTCAGCTTCTGCTTTAGTGCCTGCCATGCTATTACAGTGTCACCTAAAACAAGCATGTATCCCATAAACTAATGACCATCTATATTTCACCCTAATATGCATCACAAAAAGCACATAACAGTTTTCCAGTTTTCTTATATGTTATATTAGTTTCTGAAGTATCTGGGTTCTGGTTGTAAATTACTTTTAACTTTGTGATTCTGATCTTATTATCTCTCCTTCTTTAATGACTTTGTCATCACAGATGTTGGAAGCAGAAGACACTGTTCTCTTGACGATAATCTCAGTAAATTCGTCCTTGGGCAACAACTTTCTCAGCGTGAGAAACTTCTTTACATTTACCAGATGCAGGCTGCTTGATAGCCTTCTCAAGTTTGAGATCACTAACGGATTTTGAGTTTGTAACTTTTCATTAAAGACTGCATCTCAACCGATAATAATCCTTTTAGGATTATTTAAGTCAATAAATCTGTAGGCCTTATGAGTTTCAGTGTATCCTCTAAATATTTATTCCTGAATCTTGGCATCAAACTTTCTGCTACCATCCTTCACTAGGACTTGTGCACTAGACCCAAAAAAACTTTCAGAAACAATAAATCTACTTATTGACGTAACCACATTTCTTCAGGAACCTTGTCTTTCAAAGCCATTTTTGGGGAAAGATTTTTCAAATAAACGGCTGTTTTGACAGTTTTCCCCAGAACTTTTTATTTAGACCACTATCATGAAGCATATAACTTGCTTTCTGGTGATCATCCTAATAGTCCTCTCAGCTACCCCGTTTTGAGTTGTAGTATTTGGAATAGATATCTAATGCTGAATTCCATATTTCTTTTAAAAATATTAAAATTCCTTATTGATATACTCTGTACCATTGCCAGATCTAAAGTTATTAATTTTCTTTGCAGTTTGGTTTTCCACAAAAAAAGCTTTAAACTCACTAGAACATTGGAATAATTATTTCTTGGACATCAACATATAATAGAAAACCTTTCTTCTGTAGTTGTCAACAAAGATTAGAAAATATTTTCCACCTCCCCATGACTCTGTTTCAAATGCATCACATTCACATGATATTAAATGAACACATTTTTAAATTAGAAAAATCACAAGAATCTATAACCTATCTATGATTTTCATAATTACTGGTTAAAAAGGTTACAAACTCCTCAGAGTTGTCATGTATGGCAATTAGTGATGTTCCGGATATCCGTATCCGCGGATATCCGACGGAAAATAAAGATCCATATCCGTTACTTTTTCCGCGGATCTTTTAACTTATTAATTTTCCATTGATAGGATGAAATGCTATATATAGGCGATTAGGTAGATTTAAAAAACTATAGTTTTTTTACAATTAGTAAAATCCCTTGTAAAACTAAATATTAAATATATGTGTATTTTTCTGTAGAAGCCATAGATCTGCTCCGCCAGTTCAGAGAAAATAATGAAAGACGGAGTAAAGAAGTGGAAAGTATTGGCATGTTATACAATACCAATGTAAAAAATGCCAGTGAAAGTAAGTATACCATTCAATTTATATCAAATATTAAATTTTAATCAAAACATATTAATTATTAATATGTAGGCAATATATTTTATATAAAATATTTTTATATGAACTTAATAATGATAACTAAGTAATCAAGTGGTTGATACGTCGGTTTCGAGGTCTCTATCTGAGGTCCCTGGTTCGATCTTGAATGGAACAATTTAGAAATGAACCTTTCTATAATGAGTCAGGGGTGCGGCCGCTTAAATCTTGCCATGATTAACGTGACCAAACGTTGCGGTTTTTTGGCTTGTTTATTTCTCTGTTCCCTGTTGTCCCGAAAGTACAGTTGACACTCAAAAATGTCCCGTTATCGAAAGCCTAAGAAGCAGAAGAGGCGAAGGCGACGAGACTGCATTGGCTGTCAATGCGAAATTCATTTATTTGTTTTCCAACTTTCGGGTGATTTGAAACATTATGTACCGAAAAAGCGCCAGTGCTCGTTAAAGTAATATAAATAAAAAATGAGTATTAGGTAACCTCATAGCGTACGACATCTACTACTTTGTCATTTACTTTAATAACGACGAACGATAAAGAAAAATGATTATGGATTAGACATTAGTATATATATCATATATTTGTATACATACCTACTACATAGAATAACGTTCTTGTTAAGAACCGCAAATTGATAAATTTCTTAGGAAATTTATAAACTTTCGTAGGATTCTATACAAGAGATAATTTGTATTATTTTACTCTCACATTATTGTAAATTAATCAATTTGCGACGTCTCGTGGTACATTTATAAACTAACATATATCTATACGTAAGGTTTTGAACGATTCGACCAATCACATATACATAGTAGCGGCATGACAAGAAAGTTAACAGTGCCGAAACTCGGCCAAACATGTCCAATTATGCCCATGTCGCCAAAAGACAGTCTCGGTCTTAGGTGTAACGCTGACCAACGATGTATTTATGTCATCAGGATACATGATAATGGAACAAATGATATTTGCAATGCTGGACTGCCACATGTATGGTGGTGCGGCGATGGAAATATATTGCCTGTCACAGGCATTCCCTGGTAGCATGAGGGTCATGCGGTATAAGGCAATGTTACTTGAAGCTGAGGAGAAGTGGGTATATTTTAATGCATTTATATCTATGTGTTTAGTTGCTGCAACTGGCACAACTTATCTACATTGTTTAAATATCAAAGTAAATAGCTAAAGCTGTTGAGTAACTTAGATACTATAGACAGACCCGGATCTACAACTTTTTCCAACCGGGGCAGAAACTTGATTTTGACTGATCTGCAGTTAAAAAATCACCACTCGCAAGTGCCCGGATTTTTTAAGTATTTTTCTAGAATGTGAATATGAATATAGCATTGTGGATACATAATTAATGAACAAATATAACAATACTATTTTCATTCTATAATTGCAGGTATGATGAAGCCCTGGAAATTTTAGATCGCATTATAAAAGCAGACGAGACGAACGCGCCTGCGCGGAAACGCAGGATAGCCATAATGAAAGCCCAGGGTCAAATCACGGAGGCTATCAAAGAATTGGTAGATTATTTGAAAAAGTAAGACTCTTCGTAAATTATACCTAATGCAATTCTCGCTTCAGTCTTGCAACGCGCCTCACATCTGTGACCTTGGTCTGTCGTCACAACCATTTATTTTAAGGTCCCGCAGTTCTCTCTCTAGCGTTCGATGAGTTGCACTCGATTTAGGTGATGACCCAGGTTTCAGCACCATAAGTGAACACTAGCAGGACACATCGGTCAAACATGCGTGCTTTCTGTACACTCATCATGAGGTACAGCCTGGTGACAGACAGACAGCGAAGTCTTAGTAATAGGGTTGTCATTTTACCCTTTGGGTACGGAACCCTAAAAATTAAGATGCTGCCGAAAGTCTCTATTCCACTCATCGCGGGCACAGCTAGCCGCGCATAAATTACAAAAAGCCTTCATTACAATTATATAGGTTTTAAAATTAAATATTTGTATGGGTATCGTGCGGTATAGAGCGCTCAGTGTAAGTTTTTTTGACGTTCATGTTCACTGTAGATCGTGAGCGCGCTAAGATTTTGCTATGGAATCCGGTACAGCGCCCCTAGCGGTCACCAAGAAGTACAGATCTCCATACAAGTTCTTAAAGCGCTCACTAGTGAACGCTTTAGCGTAACACTTATACCACTCTGTACACTGTTTGAGCGCGAATCTTCCTCGCTCTGGGCCGGTTACTTTAGAACTGAAATGAAAATATCTTTAATCAAGTAAGCTTGTTACAAGCACTTTTGAATCGTCCAATTTCTTTTTTTCCCCTACCACTTGTTTTAGCTGACAAGAAGAACAAGCGAAATAAACTCACAAGCTCTTTATCATAAGTAATGACATTTACAAAATCATGTCATTACCAAAATAATATGTATTATCACAATAATAAATACAACTTTCAAAGTCGGAAGGCCATTAATTCCATGCGTTGCGGTCATTAAAATAATCAACTTTATAGCCTTTACTCTTAAGTATGTTCTTTACATGAATTTCAAACTTATTTATGGGTAGGTCGACTACATTTTGTGGAACTTTATTGAACATAGCAATGCATTTGCCCAGAAACGATCTCCAGGTTTTCTGAAGTCTGAAGCTTGGAACGGCGAGTTTACTTTTATTTCTCGTGGTAAGATCTCGTCCGCGCCAGGTTCATGTCGGACGTGGAGGGCTGGCAGCAGCTGTGCGAGCTGTACCTGCAGGCGGGCGAGCTGCAGCGCGCCGCCTTCTGCGCCGAGGAGCTGCTGCTGCACCAGCCGCACTGCCACCTGCACCACCAGCGCCTCGCCGACATACGCTACACCATGGTACACGCACCACTCACCGCTCACCACTCACTCTGCCCCTTTTCACTACCGAAACCATTACACTCAAATCGAAATAAACCCAATTACGAATTCAAAGACGATTCTATACATACGCACTTTATAAACGCATATATATAAAATTTAAACTCATTAGGGGCCGTCCATAAATTACGTCTCACAAGTTTTAAATTAATTTTGATTTTAACCCACCCCCCCCCCTTCCCCTCCTGTCACATGTTTGTTTATACAAATTCTACTAAATATTGTTCTAATGTCACAGTTCGTCGACCCCCCTCCTAACGTGTGACGTAATTTATGGAGGGCCCCTTATAGTACCGCCGACTGTATCTTAAAACTTATGATAGTGCCGCTATCTTTTATTCATTAAACTAGTCTATGGTTTTAGACTAAATATGAACGCGCACACATGCGCAGTTAGAACTGGCGCACGCATAAATTACTTCCTTGTATACCTACTTTATTTAATTTCAATTTTTCCTATGAGTGAAGATAAAGTAGTGTATGAAACTGCATATAACTTAGGTATTAAAACACTCGAGTCAACCTATTATCGCATAAACAGACTCTCGTGTTTTAATACTCCTTCTTATATGACAGTTGCATAAACTACTATTATTTATTTTTTGACGCTGGGAAATGTGTTACTGCACGCACGGTCTCCCCTGCGAACCCGCTCCAGAATGGGACTAATCAAAGAGCAGAGGTATACCCACTTAAACCCAGCGATGACGGGATCATCCCGGAGGCCATAAACTGCGTGATTCACCCCCATTACGACCCGCCCTGAAAAAGGCAGGTCCCACTGCGAGTTGGGGGTACGTCTCAGAGACATTCAAGACGCACCCCCCAGACGAGGCGGAGACATCAAGCACGCAAACCGATCAAGCTGAATGTGAAAAAACCTAAAGTATATCGTAAAATGATATTATAAGCAATAAGCATACGTTTCGAGGTTTGTATATAAATTAGAGTGTCGTAAAATTAACCTACTGTAAGTATATCTGTACCTATAGAAATATTTGTCGATTTAATAAACGTATACAAATTACAGGGAGGCGTTGAAAACATGGAGTTGGCCAAGTCGTACTATTGTCACGCGCTGAAGTTGAATCCTGACAACATGAGGGCCACTCTGGGCTTGTTCTTGGTGAGATTATTTTTGTTATGAACAACTCGTAACTAGACGTATAAATTTAGACTTTAGTTCCTTCTCTAGCTTGAGTTTTATGGTTTTTCTTATCCCGGGATTATGACTGTCTACTCTTCTCTCTTGGCCTATCCTCCTTAATTATCCATAAGAAAAGCACCTGCACTGGGAACGTAAAAGAGCTGATGATGACATATTCAAAACTAAACATAGTCCCACAAAATCATATGACTGGTTTGATAGGGAGGGGGGAGAGGGCAATAAGTAATTCTAATTACCGCTGTATATACCATAACATCCAAATCTCTAAATTATAATTTATTCATGTATCTTTCTCAATTCACGGGTCATATATTCCTATTATTACCCATCATTATTATAAAAAATATTGTCATTTGTTTGTTAGACAACGACCAACTTGCTGAACCACTACAAGTCTTCAGGGAACAGTTCCAAGCGTAAGGAAGTTTGGAAACTCAGTCAGTGGGTACAGACAAAGGCCGCTAGACGGACCGCGCTCAATCACAGCACACAACTCACTAACATGATGCTCAACCTCGCCATCACAGAGTAGAATCGAATATATAAAGAGAGAAAACGACGCTAACAACTAGAGGAAACATCGCCAACCACCTTCTAGAACCATCGCCTAGTTCACTAGTAAAATCGTCGCCAACAACTAGTAAAATCATTTCCATCAATTAATAGAATCATCACTTTAACTAGTTGAATAATAGCTATCAACTAGTAAAAACGTCGCCATCAACTAGTAAAATCATTTCCATCAATTAATAGAAACATCGCTATAACTAGTAGAAACGCCGCCATCCATTAATAGAGCAATCGCTACCAACTAGTAAAATGTCGCCATCAACTAGTAAAATCATTTCCATCAATTAATAGAAACATCGCCATAACTAGTAGAAACGCCGCCATCCATTAATTGAGCAATCTCCATCAACTAGTAAAAACGTCGCCATCAACTAGTAAAATCATTTCCATCAATTAATAGAAACATCGCTATAACTAGTAGAAATGTCGCCATCCATTAATTGAGCAATCGCCATCAACTAGAAAAACGTCGCCATCAACTAGTAAAATCATTTCATCAATTAATAGAAACATCGCTATAACTAGTAGAAACGCCGCCATCCATTAATAGAGCAATCGCTACCAACTAGTAAAATGTCGCCATCAACTAGTAAAATCATTTCCATCAATTAATAGAAACATCGCCATAACTAGTAGAAACGCCGCCATCCATTAATTGAGCAATCTCCATCAACTAGTAAAAACGTCGCCATCAACTAGTAAAATCATTTCCATCAATTAATAGAAACATCGCTATAACTAGTAGAAATGTCGCCATCCATTAATTGAGCAATCGCCATCAACTAGTAAAAACGTCGCCATCAACTAGTAAAATCATTTCATCAATTAATAGAAACATCGCTATAACTAGTAGAAATGTCGCCATCCATTAATAGAGCAATCGCCATCAACTAGTAAAAACGTCGCCATCAACTAGTAAAATCATTTCCATCAATTAATAGAAACATCGCTATAACTAGTAGAAATGTCGCCATCAACTAGTAAAATAATCACTCAATCTACTAATAAATATATCACTAGCACGCTAGTAAAAATGACGCCATCAAATAGTAGAACCACCGCCATCTAGTACCACCATCTCATCAAGGAATAGTGCCATTATCAAAAATAGGCAAATGTTTGGCGATGTTTTCATTCATTGGTCGTAATAAAAACATCCATCGACACCTTTGTTTTGCCATTCCACTGGATACCTTGATATAAGCTAATTATAAATATTTTTTTGTTTGGTCAAAATGAACTCTTCACTTTGAAAAAAAATCCAACTAGTTTTTTTTTTATAAAAGTACGAAAATTACATCAACTATTGGAGAGAAAATATCCATACAACTGCCAGTCTACATATATGACTGTTTGTTTCCTAAACTTTGTGACTGGCGCGCTCATTAGAAATTGAGATGAAAGAATATAGTCAGATGATATAAGTCTATTAATTAAGTTAAAACGAAAATACAAGTTGCTACTCTTTTATTATTAATTTTGGTTTATGAAGAGGGTTGGTGAAGAGAAAAATATTATTCTCTATATTTAAATTAACAGGAAAATATTAGAAATAAATTATATCATCTCATAAAATTCAAGTATACATATTTATAATATTATACACTTTTTATACCGCATTGGTATCTGTCTGTATACATTTTAAAAAATCAATTAACATGGTTGAATGAAATCTAGCATGTGTAGCATATTTGATACTGTATAAGATAGTATAGTATTGTCTATGGGTTATTGATATTTAGCATATGTAGCGTCTTTGATACTGTTTATAGTATTGTTTATGGTGTAAGTATTTGAATTAATATGATATTGAAAAGAATAGTTTTGCATAGAAACTTTTAGTTTCAAGATAAGCACTACATGGATATGTTTATTGTTACTATTTATTAAAGAGCATTTAAACAAATATTTTTCTTTTTTTTTGCACGACACCTGTATCAGAACGAGAATGAAATCTCAATAAGTTAGTTTATAACTTTATAACTTTTTTTTTAAATTATGGCCTTGTTCCGTTATACACAGAAATCCTTATCATGAAATTTTATCGCAATTGACTATGAAATGAGGTTTAAAATAGGTTTAAATCATAATTAATTTATATTTCATAATGTTATGGGTTTTCGTTAACATTTTAACCTTTTTTTTCTACTGAATGTCCTTAAGGGCGCAATACCAATTTTCTGCACCAGTTAGAAAATTTTGTATATGGCGATTAGAAAAACTTGTATGATAGTGTGATATTTCGTTTCACTTTACTACTTCAGCATGACTTTTTGGAGGATAAATTGCACCAGTTGTTCCTAAGTTTTTTTTTTTTTAAAGAAAAGAATGTATATTTTTTTGTATTGCATTTAATTATTTACGCTTAATCTTTTATACTATAACATTTCTATACATCAAGTAACACCGTTCTTTGATTTATAAAATTCTGCTCTGGCCTTCTCTTCCGCTTTCCTTTCCTTCTTTTCGCGACGTGTGATTTCTCCCAGTGCAAAATACTTTTCTCTGTAACAAAGTTAACAATAGATAAAATTAATGAAATATTTTCCGGCTGATAACAACGAATGGAATATGCTCACCAGCCCTAATAAAATTTACAAAAAAAATGTCATTGCCAAGTTGAGTCAACAAACGACTGACTATGAAGTCACTTTCTATTACAATATTTTAGTTTAATAAAAATATAAAGAGCTAAAAGTTTCAATTTTTTTATTTGTAAGAGGGTTAATACTCGAAAATATTAATCCGATCATGATAATTCTTTCATTTATTTAAAGCCACATGATACGCTATGATTTAACGGGTAATCCATTAATATTTTGTCGGTCAATCACGCCGAAACTACTGAACGGATTTTGATGAAATTTGGTATACAGATACAGAGGTATACAGATTAAAATATGGAATCACGTCGACATTTACATCTGGCATCGCTTTTATTCGATATAACAAAATTTAAAAGTCCCGATTACCTCTTCTCAAAATTGAATTTTTGTACCTCAAACAGATCGCGTGATTACGCACCGAGATCAATACGACCGCCTCTCGTAGTTCACCAACACCGCACTGTGGCGTTTACTGGCAGTTTCCGCTACCACGCAACTAAGTGTTGGAATAATATCCCACCGCCACTAAGGTTGTTGAAAAATAAATATTGTTTTAAAAAATTATTAAAGTCATATCTGCTAGATAAACAAAAATTAGGTATTCCAACACTCTGACAGGTGGCGGTAACGTAATTCTTTTTGTTATTTCACTTATTGATTGGTGTTCAATATACATATCTCATTTAAATGTATTGTTTATTAATGATAAAAACGAATTATATAATTTAACTTGATTTAAATAATATAATAATTTGATTTGAATTTTGTAATAAATATGGTAATTATTATTCAATAAAATATTTGCTAATGTATTTTATATTTCACTATTTATTTTATATATTTTCTATCTATAAAATATATATATTAGGATGGTTTTATCTGATTTTCATCGATATTTAAGCCCGATTAGTTGCAGTACCGTGTTTGCGCTCACTCTTGGTAGCAGCTGAAAATCAGCGATTTGCTCGCGAATGCGCGTGAATAATTGACGCTGAGCTGGGACCACTTTTTACTGCTGTGACGCACACACACATTTTGTTTTCGAATGTTCATTTGTCTAACCTTACATACTTATTAATTATTTTTCAGTTGAATGAAATGTAATGTGTGTGTGTATTGTGGCAAAAAATAAATCGTTTATCTAGATAGGGTATTAGCCGACTTAGATAATAGGATACTTTAAATCCCACTAAACATTTCCCTAGGGTCCACGCGGGCGAAGCCGCTGGCGAAAGCTAGTTTTAACGTAAAATAATGAAAAAAAGCTATGCTATACCTGAAGTTATGTGGGGCGTTGTGTGGTAACGGTCGCGTGTCTGTATGTGTCGTTAGTTTCTCGTACGTGAGCAATCGCCGACAGGTGGCGCGCGACAGCGGCTGCTCGGACGCGCTCACTAGCGCCATGCGCGGGTGTTGCGGGAACTGCAGCGAGTGACATTCCTCCTCCCTGCACATTACCATTACACGTCACATCTAAATCATATTCATTTTAACGACGTATAAATATATGACGCTCACTAGGGCCCGGATTTACGGGATCGGGGCAGAAACTTGGTACGATACTATTTAAGATTTGACTTGACTATATTGAACCTGTCGAGAACGATATGAAATCGAACATAACAAAACCATTTGGTATTTTTGAGTTTCCTTCATTAACCAGGCCAAGTTTTGCACCAGGTAATGGACCTTCCACAAGACCTTATTAAAATTTTAAGAAGATTTTAAGCTACTTTTATTTTGGATCGCCATTAAAAAGGGTTAAGAACCATTTAAGTGGGGGGCTTAATTACCTAACCATGGGATACCAACAGACCAGCCGCTTGCCAGTCTTTAGATGGTTCGCTGCAAACTCCAGTAAGTCATCGTACAGCTGTGGCAATCCATATTCCACTTTAGAAGGTATGTGATTCACTAGGTGCTCCTCCGAGAGGGTATAGTTTTCTCTCTCTATCCCTATCTTCTCTGTCGGTTCCCGAACTCCGTAGGGCGCTGCAATCGATTGTTGGCTTTTATTTATTTATTTTATTGCATTCCACAATATAGTGTTAAGATGTAACTCGATTGGTATCGTATAGGACGTGTTACTACGACTCAGTCATATTTCAGCGCTACCACATGCGATTAACAGAAGAATATAAACTTGAAATGTAATTCACAGAGTAGTAGCTAAAGCAATAGTCAGCATAGTAAGAATTTATATTTTTGAATTTTGTCAAATCTCGTAGATCGTAAGAGTGTAATTCTATCCAATAATGCATAATAGGGAATATGCGTCTGATTCAAAAAAGGGTTAAATATATTTTATTACAATCGTTATTGCTTTGGAATAAAGTATATCTAAATATTTTTCAAAATTTGTTCGTTTTCGTCTTGAAAATAATTATTAAAAAGTGCAAAATAAATGCGGTAACTTCAAAATATTTAAACGCCATGCTACTTGTCAGAGCGGATGTGACGAAAATGTACACGTATAGGGATGTCGTTGTTACAAAAAGTTAACATCGATGCAATAACATCAAAGTATTAAAATAAACAACAGATTATAATTTAAATATTGTTTTGGGCTTTTATTTTTATTTCACCAATTTGGTAAATTATATGATTTATTAAAAAAGTTTATTATAATTTAAAAAATCGATTAGTTGATAATCGATTTGGGTAACTGAATAATAAATCAATCACTCAAAATCCATATTGGCATTTTGACAGGAAATTTTAAGATTTTAACCTATTATATGAATGATACTTTTTTATATTATATATATATTTAGACAAATTTCAAGTAGTAAATTTATAGATTAAAAAGATTTGGAAAAAGTTGTCCACATTTCTATACCCAAAAGGCGAGTTCGAAAAAGTTTGTATACTACATATGCTAATGGAGAAAAAGCACTAAATATAGAAAAAAATATATATAAATAATGGCAACGATATCGATTTTGCAACCGACACACAACAGTGATGTAATTACAGTGATTAGCACCATTGAAAAAGAAAGCAGTGTACTTGTAAAGTGACGTCATAAAGTCGGCAATGAAACGGTTTTTAGTAATGTCGTTATTCTATTAGAGCTGGTAAGTACCTTTTGCTCGTTGTTATGAGCTCTTCTCGAGCGAATAGTAATTTAGATGTTGGACGATTCAAAAGTACTTTAAATAAGTTTATTTGATGAAAAATGTGATTGTGAACTGTGATATAGTAGGGGAGCCCAAGCGGGGATTTCGGGATTTACTAAAGCGCGGCAGATTAATATACAGGGATACCTTGTACCCAGTTAAGTACCTGGACCAAGTATGAGCCCTATAAAAAAGGCCGCCCGGCAAGGACGAAGGATCAGATTAGTAAAAAAAAATTGATCATCTGAAAATCTCGTCAGATTATGAGATATCACGTCTGGGGCATAAAGATGAACCATATATATCTTAATATGACGCGCTTGAGTATTTCAAAATGGCGATTTTTTTTTTGCACATTCTAATAATGGTCACGCGTTTGCGTCACATCCAAATCGTCAGATTATTATATGAGAGCTTTTTTTTAGGTTCACTTGACATCCCCTCAAAAAATCTTGTATAACCCTTACGTATAACCTCCCCACCCCACCTCCATCATGGAAACGATCAGATTAACATACGACAGTTTTTAAAAATGCGTAGGACATGGATGATATTAATATCTGACGCGCTCGAGTATGTCCATACAACAGTTTTTTTTTTTACATTTTTAAAAATCTATAGCCGCTTCCCCCACCGATGAAAAGGTATGTATTATATGATTTTTTTTTGTTATCATCTAAGCTTCGCAACCCAATAGGTCTCTATGACGCTCGCGTAAATCCCGATTTAGCATCGTGGGCTCCCCTACTATAATTAAAAAATTAACCAAGAATTATATCTGCAAAAGTATATGACAAATAACAGACATAAGAAGGGGAGACGTTTATTACAATAGACGACGGCCCAAGTAAACAAGACAGTATCGGCTTAGGGGTAGGTATCGTTTGAATAAGTATTAAACCTTTTGAGTGGAAATTAATTTTCCTAGAAAAATGTATTCTTACGATCAGTGATGATTGCGTCGAATTGCATTCCTGGTTTCCACATGGGCAGAGAGAAATCACTGACGACCGCGTCCAAGTACAAAGATTCAGTGCCATACTGACGCATATTGCCCCGTATGCTCTCTTCTTTAGTACGTGCCTACACAAGCATATACGAAAAAATAATTATAATCAGCCCCATTCCGTCCCCACTCCTGGGGACACGTCCTTTCTTATAGATGGTTACAAAGGATGGGCATTGACCCTCCACGCTGGCCAATACGGATTGGAGTATTAACGACTGCAAAATGCAGCCCGAACCAACAGCCTAACATGCCTTCCGAAGAACGGAATAGCTCGAGATAATAACTTTTTGGTCGCCCATCCCGTGATCGACCCCTGCTAAAGTCGATTAACAACAACGATCGCGGGCCGTAGCGCTTATCCACTATGTCACCGAGCTATTCAAAAATTTCATTTTATAAACAAATAAAATTTAATTGCTGTCTACTTTTCTTACATGGCTATGTGTTATTTCAGATAATTAGATACGGCAAATAATACGAATTGGGATGAATTTTTTTTTTGTCCGTCAAGTTGACTATTGAAGTAATCTACAAATTAGGGCGACACATTGTCGTATGACCTCACGCCTTTGTACATTTTCTACGTAGTAAGACCCACTCCTTAACTTTAATACCTAAGCCATTTTTCGTTAAATTAAAGCGAAAACAAAATACGTATTTAATATTTTTATATTATTTGGCTAATGTACTAAATGGAATTTCTTTATTTTTACCCACTCATCATCCATATTATTAATATAAATAGTATAGTTAGTTACCTTTTGTCCAACGCGTGTGGGCCGTGTACGGGCGTGAAGCATCATGAAATCGATGTCCGATCCCCAAACATAACCTACAAGTCAATACATTAAATAAATATCGCATATTACTTACATATTATTATTGTTTTATTGTTACACAGTAGCCCTACAGAGATCTGCACTCTGCACGCTTAAAATGGACATTAGACATATAGTGGACTGTATTGTTGTCTGTCCTGTTCTAATTTACGTTTTCTATATAGAAATCCAGTAGGGTGGAACAGTGTATCTTCATGATACACTGTTACGCGATATATCGAAAATAGGTTTTCTTAAAACGGCTCTAGCATGATGATTTTGAGAGACTCCGGAAACGGGTCCAGAGTGAGATGCTCATACAATATCTCACTCTCGGTCTTACCTTACCCACTAGTTTATCGAGATCGTTATGCTATACTAATATAATTGTCCCATCATACATATACTTAACCTCCAAAATGTGCCGCAGCAACCAACAGTGACCCTGAACCCACAAACGGATCCAGCACCAAGTCTCCGGAGACCACACGCGCCTGGTTCGCCATAATCAGCGCTAACTGCGCGTCCATACTGGTGTTGCCGATGAACTGTCTCCGTTTCAACGAATGGTACTGTATGAGGTCACGTTGGCCATCTGCTACCTTGGTATAAAAAACTGTAGCTATATGTTCAATTCGTCTGTTAGTCAGTACTACTCACATGATTTAACATGGTTGACAGTCTAGAATGACGTTGGTGCAAAGACAGTCAATAACATGTCAGGCTATACAAATTTCTCCTTTTCATTTTAAGCCTTAATGAATCATTGCTAGAGTTCAAAATCAATTGAGGAAATTTGACATATTGTAGTAACCGACGTGCAACTGTGTGTACAACGCGCAAAATGGTTCTCATTTCGAACATACAATATATTTAAAATAAATAAAGGATAATAAATCTTATCTTAAGAAACTAAAAAAAAAGCACATCCACAGCACAGACAGACGTAACAGCGTCATGCGGGATAGCATGGAAGTATGGAATTCCGAGCCAGGTGTCATGTTAATTCGATCAACTTGAAGCTAACAGACAGGTCACACTCCAGGGAAAATGGTGTAAATTATCGCGTATGTTAGGGCCCCTAGGTAAGTTGCATTTTTCGTTATCCAGGATCCAAAATATTAGGTTAAGCCGTTGGTGCCAGATACATCTGCAGTTGTTAATACCCACCAATCCGCACTGGATATTCGTGTTGGGTCATGGCCCATTCTCATTATTCAGTTCCATCTATAGGGAAGGTCTGAGCCACCCAGCAGCAGGGCACTAATAGGCTGGTGATGTGACGATGTGAATTCTAATGATAATGCTAATGATTTACCTTAATGAAAAAGGCTTAAAATATCCACCAGTCCCTATCCCTGAGTATTCACATTTCATGGAGCTGGTGGTTGTTTTCATTTTCGAAAAATTTTCATTTAAAAATATTTATGTGTACAGCCTTGTGAAAGCAAAATTGATCAAATATAAACAAGTTATACTATTTAATAAACACTCACCCATCTACCAAAGAATACTTCATAAGGCTCTTCAGGAACATTATTTGGGTCAACACCATAATATTCCAAATATGCCAAAGTGACATCAGGATCTTTCAACCTTACGGGCCCATTCAATGGCAAATAACTGAATGCCTGAAAATTTTACATTACAGATTAAAAAAACCTTTTTTATCTATTACACATTAATAATGTTAAATTCTAAAATGTGTCTGTTCCTCATATTATGTGTGGTACTGCACTTGATGCACTGACTTTATTATTTCAGTATTATGAATATTGTAACATACAGTATGATGAAAATAACAGACATTTTATCTATTACAATGTGGTTTTCAACGAGAAGACAGTCTTAGAGTGTTAAAATTTTATAAGGACACTTTTTTACTGCAATCTTATAACCATAAAAAAGTTAAGAATCCATTCTTGAAATCATATAAACAAAATCTGTCAGTTCAGCTGGTAATTAATAAACTAAATCTACCATTAGGTACCTCAATCTTCTCCACTTTTTCTTTCATTGTAAAATGTTTACAAAATGTCTCCACTTCTATTTTGAAAGATTTGTTTGCCGAACAGCATGCTTCTATCAAAGTATTCGGGCAGATATGCTCACCAACTCCCTTGTCAGGGTCTGTTTTAACAATCCATTCCTGATTAGTGTTCAATAAAGCGTCTTTCAAATTCCGATGTAGTTGACTAACTGACTTTGTTGATGACCATAGTTCTATACAGTTTTTAATAAGAACTGATCTTGATGCAATTTTCTTCACAGACTCTTCTGAAGGCAACTCCACTATCCAGTAAGGCTTCTTTGCACATGGCTTTTCTATGTATTTTATTGGAATATCAAAAATAGATAAAATGCTTTGTATTTCCTGAAAATAAGTAAAAATTAGGAATTTTTAAGAATACTAGGAAAATCTAGCTCAGTCTAGTTTGTATTTTAAGATAATAAATATGTAAAGAAAATTGTTATTCACTACATTGAATAAAATTCCATAAATTTTAGCCAATATGTCAAATTTAAATAATTTATTTTGAACTCTACCATAAACACGTTAAGTTTTAAAATAAAGTGGAAAATTTTGCCAGTTTTGTATAACCCAACATGCTGTTGTCTGTACAGTGTATGTACCTTCGGGTACTTATGAATGAAAATCCCATGAAATCAATTATTGTCAAACCATTTAAATCGTAGGCAAACAATCTCGAGGCAAATGACTATAGTTGTTCTATTTTATAAGTTTTGACTATATAATGTTTAGACATAGAAGTCTTGGGTTTAGAGTGCTCATTTGCGAATTATTAGTCTTATTTGCTATCTTCTTTCTATCTGATTTATTTGATTTCATCAAATTACGAAAATAATAGTTCTAGCAAAATAAATATGATATAAAAATAATGTGGGAAAATAAGTACTGTATTTGTACAATTTCGCATTCACAGTGCTATACTGAAAAAAAACCTGTTTGGGTGGATGCCTGAATATTGATTAGAATACACTCTGTAGTGGCGATAAGTAACAAGTGCTTCAAAGATTCGTCAGTCTTGTTAGGTCCTGGGTAGCTCAGCGGTTGGAGCAGTCGTCCGGATTGCGAAAGGACGTAGGTTCGTATCCCACCTCTGGGTGCCAGGGATCAAGTGGATTTTTTAAGCATTTTGTATAAAGAATACTTACTGCATGTCGGAAGTCGTTATGCTCATGAGCAAACCAAAACAAATAACGACGCCACATCTTTTTAACAATGTTTTTAACAACTTGTATAGAATATTAATATTTTAAAACTTCTTCTTCTTCTTCTTAACTTTAATAAAACTTCTTCTTTAAAAACTCTGGAAACAATTATTTAATATATATTAGTAGACCGCAATGAATGTTAAAAAAAAACATAACCTCAATCAAACAAAAACCTAAATCCACCTTAAGGCAAACACACATTCATGTATCATCGTGTGGTATTAGCTTTTGTGTCGTTTCATATTAATTTTATAATTATAATGACACAGATGAATTCATTTCACAACACATTTGTTTCATTTTTCTCTATATTCATAGAAAGAAGTCTAAATTACTTAACAGGACCAATATTTGTCACGCTTCAATCACAAAACAAAAACCTGTGATTAGAGATGTGCCAAGTCAGACTGACTCGAGTACTTGAAAAAACCCGAATACCTAATAGGTACTCAGGTACTCGAGTACTTAAAATACAGAATGAAGAATGTTAACAATTTTTATTTATTAGCACTCCATATTCTCTGTCAAAAATAAAAAATACTAGTGAAAGAATTACTTCGATACGACAATTAGTTTCCGATTTAGAAGTAAAACAAGTTGTAACCGCACGACGCAGGCTGCCGGTGACGGTGTGACGTCATTGCACAACACGCACAGTCTGGCTCACTTAGTCCGCTCGCAGTCGCGCGCCCGTGCCGTCGAAATTTTACCTAAATACTTTTAAAAATGTCCAATCCAAATACTAGTAAATCATATGTTGTGCCTAAATGTAAAAATACAACTACTAATTCGCCGGGAAAGTTGTTTTTTATAGATATCTTTTCAACCTCTTCTTTTTTTCACATATAAAATGTGAAAGAGAACACTGTATTTGAAGCTCTCTAAGTTATAATGCTACTTTGTCAAAAAAAAAAAAATTCATTCTGACCGGCTAAATGAAGTGTTATACCACTTGTGCCAAAATCTTTAGCTTTAATCATTTTCAGTGTGGTACCAACACCTGAGAGCTTAGATTTTTTTCAATAACACTTGGTAGCAGTCGTTGAAGGCTCTTCGCTTCGACGATGTAGCCACATTAAAAATGCTACAGTATGTTTACAGCCACCTCTGCTGGCGGCACAATCTTCGCAGGTTACATTTAATACTTCTTGATCCTCGATCTTCGGATTCTTGATCTTCGGATACGCAGGTACTCGAGAACAGGATTCGAGTACTTACGGTATTCGAATCGTAGTCGTTACGGTACGGTAGTCGTGTACTTTAATAGCAACCTTTTAGCTTAACACGTATGGTTTTATTAGTGACTTCATTCAGAAAGTACTTCAATTCGTACTATAATTTTATTTTCGTTGATTACTAATAATTTCATAGATTACGACGTTTACGACGTAACTTAAAGTTTTTAACATAAGTGTTCTTGTTAATACTAAAGTTATTTACAGTTTCAAGAATTTTAGTAAGATTAAAATTATAAAAGCAAGATTTGCTTTGCGTGCTTCTATTGAACTTTTTAATAATATTCATAATTACCAAAGTATGATTAAATGACTGATTATAGCTGTATTAATCTATTTATTGAAATACTTTCCTATTGTTCATGGTTCATTATAATGTGTAGTTGTCGTTAAACTCATGCAAACTACAAAGTTCGATTCAAATAATACACGAGTTCACTGAAGTATTAGAATACTTGTGCTAGTACTCGAAACCTACCCGACTCTGCTGACTCGATTCTTTTTTTAATGAGTGCCAGTATTCGAATACCAAATATGGCCGACTCGGCACATCACTACCTGTGATCCACTTTTTTTATCGATATTATGAAAAGCAATGGGACCTAGCTCATACGACTATCATTTATAAGAATAATTTAATTTGCAGTGGTTTAGGGATACCTTAATTATTTAAATGAAATTATTTAATAAGTTATGTATAACATGTCAGCACTGCTTTATTTAATATTAAAATTATAATTTACAATGTATTTATACAGAGAGATCTTAAGTATCGTTTTTATCTTCTTCATTTCTTTCCTCTAGTAAATCTTGATATTTTTCATGCAAGAAATCTAAGTAAGCATCTTTTATAGATCCTGAACATGCTACATAATGTCCTCCAGAATGCTCAGCTATTATAGGTTTAATGAATAAATTTATTAGTGATTCACTCATTTCTGAAACAATTTTTTGTTTTGTAAGAGAAAGATTTCATATTATAACTGCTATTAATTAATATAAACAAAGGATAGGCTATTAAATAACCAAAAAAAAAATGTTAATAAACTCAAATTAAATCACAAACCTTTAGGAATGATGGAATCACTTTCGCCATAAACATGTAATGATGGTAAATCAATTTCATCATCATAAAATCCTTTATGAACCAAACTTCCAGATCGGAAGCCAGAAGCGAATATTGCAAAATTAAAACTATAAGGTAAATCTGTAACAGCACAAATGCCAATCATTAGTAACTGGAAAATAATTAATTTATAATCAATCAATCAACAGACACATATATACTCACATCCCTTTTGTTGCATAGCAGCTAATAGGCCCACTAAGCATGCTCCCTGTGAGAAACCCATAAACCCATCAAAAGGTCCATATTCTTTGACTATATTCTCAACTAACTGCAAAGTCTTTTCAAATCCAATGGCTGGTCCACCCAGACATTTTCCACTAAATGTATTGTCTTCAGCGTTGAACCACCATGACCTATGATCTGTTTAAAAATAAAATATCTAATTAAGCATATTTATTTAATAATCCTATATAAATCCTATTTAGATTTATCCTCTAAGTCAAGAAATAAATGATTCTACTTAGCTTTGATAATTCTACTTAGAAAATTTGAATTCCTATCTATAATATTTAAGAGTGATACTCTTATTGATGGAGTAATTTCCATTGTTCCTTATCCTCGGATATGATCATGACTCCTTAATTCTGTCGTACCAAGGGATACGACACGGCTTACTTTTTCTTTATGATCCCATTTACCTTAAATATTAAGTATATAGTAATGCTTTACAAATAGTCTCAAACCTTCATCTACACCGCCTTCTTCATTTAGCACTTTATGAGGGGCAGAAATAAACGTTAGCTGGGCATATTTAGAGACGGCTTTCCGGAACGATCCAATTTTGCCTCGAAATAATGCACCATTCTGTCTGTATCCATGAAATGCTAGAATTTTAAGCTTCATCGGGTCTCCCTCTTTCTTTTCTATAGTAGAGTGGTTAGAATTTTGGTCGGTCATAGACATTTTATAAACTGTTATGAAAATGTGATAAGAAAATAGTTATAGAGAATAATTAATGATAACCATATGTAATTTATAGAATTACATTAAATAAACAATTTGTAAGGTAAAGTTTTCTTTTTTTTAATTTATACTCTATTTGCGTTTACATAATTCTGCCAATGTCTTTTTGGTGGCATTTACACTTAATGTAAATAGTATTGATGCAAATAATTTTGAATTTGTTATTATCGTTCGAAATATTTTTATTCGAAACCATGTCTCATTTAAAAAGGATTTTTGGAATCCCATAATCTTGGTTCTGTTTGAATAAGCTCGAGAAACTCAATAACAACAACATTACTCCCTTCAATTATTAACACAAAAAAATACAAGACAAAAATACAAACCACTGATTATTAGTAAATGAAGAAGTATTTAAAAAAACACATGATCCTAAAATTGTACTAGATGGTGTTAAGGTACTTTCTAGATTTCTCCATGACAACCTTTCCGGTTTTCTTTCATATATAAAAGTAAATTAATTTTCAAAACTCAATAAACAACTCATATTCTATTTATAGATTATTGTGAATAAAAAAAATTTTTTTTTTTAAATATAAGTTTTTTGTGCGCTTTATTAAAATATAATGTGCGTTTAATTTTCTATATTTTTTGCCCTCTTTTATAATATAGCACTCTTGTCTGTCGGTTCTGGCCAAAGTTTCTATGGAAGCTTGGCATTGTTTTTTTATTATTCTTAGTAAAATACGTATACATATAATTGCATACGTTGGTAATAAGGGGCGGGAAAGCAATTACTTTAAATATTATTCGCTAAATATTTTTGGTAAATAATAATTATTTTAATTTTTAAATCAATTAATAAAAATATAATTTTCCAGTATCTGCGTCTCTGTCTGATGTCAAAGGAAATACCAATCAGAGCGCTTTTGTCATTTTTGAAAAAAAATCTAGGAAAAGCGCGGGAAACATTCAAAGTGCAAATGATTTTAAGGTTTTACTTGATTTTAAGCAAAATTACACGGGTCAGTCTACTGTATCAATTTATTTATGAGTTTGACTATACTTACTGAATACTATAATTATTTTTTGTCTCTGACAATCTCTTTTGTTTACCCTACAAATAACGTTTCGTCCCCAGAGTCCCCATCGAGGCGGTTTAATTAACCATTTTTAACACTTATTGTGTTTAAATTTTTAATAGTACAATACTCCATGTATGTGTTGTCTTAAAAATCGCATATTTGGTCAAATATTTGTGAATGTTTGCCATGTTGGCGCATTTAAAATAGTTGTATTTTTGATTGTAGTAAATATTGCAACAGGTCGACAGGCTACTTTGGAGTTTATGCATTTGCAAAAACCGTCACATGATGGCATACGCTATATAAAAATGTGCATCTTGCTCTTTGGTTACAGAAATATTCTTTGATACGGTTTTCGCGCCAAGACGGATGTTGTCAAAGATATTGTTGAAAATAATTTGCAGTTTTTGGATTAGTTTGTTTTCAATTTTAAGCCACTGAAAATGGAGGAAGGTGACTTTGATCAACGTCTTAGAGACTTGCAGAGAGAATATTTGGAGTTTTTGGATGATGAAGTAAGTTTGTTTGAAATATTTATAACCTCTCTCTCTAGATTCTCTCTAGTATAGGATGTGTCTTACAACTTTCATTTAAATCTTATGAATTTCGTAGGAAGATCAGGGTATCTACATGGAACAAGTGAAACAAATGATAGCTGATAATTCTAAACGGCTTGTTGTCAATGTGAATGATCTAAGAAGAAAGAATCCACAACGGGCTAAAAACTTACTTGAGAATGCATTTGAAGAGCAAATAGCATTTCAAAGAGCTCTAAAAGAATACGTATCATCTATTGATCCTATATATGCAAAAGTTCAGGAAGAATTCTTTGTTGCCTTCTCTGGAAGCTTTGGTAACAAACATGTCACCCCTAGAAGTTTGACTTCAAGGTATGCAGACTACTCTTGATCTCGCTCCATATTAATCTTTATCTTTTAGTCATAATTAAAAACATTACAGGTATTTAGGGAACCTAATATGCGTGGAAGGTATAGTGACAAGAGTGTCACTGGTTCGCCCAAAAGTGGTTCGCAGTGTGCATTACTGTCCAGCTACTAAGAAAGTTATGGAACGTAAATACACAGACCTTACATCATTTGAAGCTTTTCCTACTTCAGCAATTTATCCTACAAAGGTAATTACATAGTTTTAAGCCATAGATTAAGTTAGCTTATTAGAATATTCTCTTTGTATTCACTATTGTAATTGGACTGGCCTATTCAGTATAAGTATTCAATTCAATTCTTTATTGCAATCATGTGGTGATATGAGATATTCTTTACAAATGCAGTACCATAACATGAACCCTGTCAGGGCAAAGCAATATCCATACAATTGACATTAACACATTCACCATTATTAAGTTAACATTACATTCTACATCATATATATCATAACCAAAATTCTGAACACCATATTAAATAGTCACTGCAATATTGCAGGATGATGAAGGCAATCCATTAGAAACAGAATTTGGCTTATCCCGCTACAAAGACCATCAGACTCTAACAGTCCAAGAGATGCCTGAGCGTGCACCTGCTGGTCAACTTCCACGAAGTGTAGACATAGTATGTGACGATGATCTTGTTGATAAATGTAAGCCCGGAGACAGAGTACAAATTGTTGGCAACTATAGATGTTTGCCCTCAAAACAGGGTAGTTTTACTGCTGGCACTTTTAGGTAAATACAGATTTCTGAATCATTATAAAATTGTTTTTCTTCTAGTATTTCCTATAATTCAAAAGTTACGTATATATTTCAGGACTATACTTATAGCAAATAATGTAACTCAAATAAACAAAGACATGAATTTGAATGTTACTCTGGAGGATATCAAGTTATGCAAGAGATTGGCGAAACGTACCACGGTAGATATGTTTGAATTGCTGAGCAAATCATTGGCCCCATCTATACATGGACATGATTATATCAAGAAGGCTATACTGTGCTTGTTGTTAGGTGGCATGGAGAAGATTTTACCTAATGGCACTAGACTCAGAGGGTATATCTTTTTTTTTTTGTTATTATTTGTATAATATGAAAATTTCAAGTGAGCTGTTAAAATGTATTAAGACATGACAGGTTATTGAGAACAGGCATTTCATGCGTCATATGGACAGATGATATGAAACAATAATAAAAATATGTCAATTTTATATTTTGGGGTAATATATGAAACAATAAAAAAAGGCTTTGACCGCGTCTATCTGATTACATTGTGTAAATTAATTTTCACAAACTGACATTCAGCAAAGCATATCGCGTTACTCAAGATTTCACGATCACGAAAAATGAATAATAAAAAAGAAATAATTTTATAGATCGAAGGCAAAAAGTCTGGATGCCAAAACCTAGGACAAAATAAACGGCGTGGCACGACGCACCATTACGCTAGTGTTACCGTTCTATAGATAACTTTGATTGATTTCTGGATAAATGCATTGCTAAATTCAATAAAGTTCCACAAAAGTAATTCAACTACCCATAAATAAATTTAAAATTCATTTAAAGAACATTCTTACGAGTAAAAGCTATTATTAAGTTGATTATTATTTTAAGGACCGCAATGCATGGAATTAATAGCCTTCGCTCTATTCTATATCAACTAATTATATGTACTAACCTATGTCTTACAGATTTTGAAAGTTGTATTAATTATTGTCATAATATGTACTATTTTGATAATGACATGATTTATGTAAATGTAAGTTTCTTTTGCTTGTTCGGCTTGTTAGCTAAAAGATGCCCTGAAGTAGGGGCAAAAATTATTTCAAAAGTGAATAAAGATAATTATATACACTCAAATCGGATTACGATTTCAAAAACGTTTCTATACACACGCACTTTAAAAACGCATATACATAAAATTAAAAATAAAATTCATTATAGTACCGCCAACTGTATCATAAAACTCATTATAATGCCGCTATCTTTTTTTAATCATTAAACTAGTCTATGGTTTAAGGCTGAATATGAAAAAAAAAGGCGCACGCATGCGTAGTTTGAACTTAATTTCCCGCGGCTCCCATACATTTTTTGCCGATCATGTTTTTGAAACTACTATCCTTGTAAACTACCTACTTTGTATAATTTCAATTTTTCCTATGAGTGAAGATAAATTAGTGTATGAAACTACATATAACTTAGGTATTAAAACACATAAACAGACTCGTATTTTAATACCCTTTCTTATATGACAGTTGCATAAACTAATACATTTAATTTGGCTGTATAGTGACATCAACATCCTGCTGATAGGCGACCCGTCGGTGGCCAAGTCTCAGTTGCTGCGTTACGTGCTGCTGAGCGCCCCGCGCGCCATCACCACCACCGGGCGCGGCTCCTCCGGCGTGGGGCTCACCGCCGCCGTCACCACCGACCCAGACACGGGCGACCGCAGGTATACCGCACAACTGCTACACTGCTACACCGCTACACTGCTACACTGCTACAACGCTACACATCCTACGCCGCTACAACGCTACACACCCTACACCGCTACACTGCTACACCGCTACACTGTTACACTGCCCCCAACCATAATATCTCATATTCACTTTATTTTACTTTATTGCACTTTATTTAAAACTTAACGAGTTGTAACGCAAAATCAGCGTAACGAATTAAAACCTCAACCCGATTAGTTTTACTGTTAAATTAATACTGTCCATTTCTATCTGATACAAAGCTAATGAAGAACATACGGAAAATAGAAATTTAAAAAAGAAACTTAAAACAGCTTGTTATACTTTAGCATTATGGATTCGGTAGTCTGAAAAAAAATATACATATGTTATTTAAAGATACATAAACATAAAACTTACAATAATAGATTATTTAATTGACTGTGATATAATTGATTGATTATTAATGATCGGAAAAATAACCATTTTGACATTGTTAAGATACTTAATTTATTTGACATTCCTAATTACAATGATTTGACCTGCATGATTTACGGCCAGTTGCACAAACGTCCATTAAAATTGACATTAGTTTAAAGGGACATTACCCATAGAAATTTGCCATTCATTAGAGCTTAAAGATGTCATTAAAACCTAATAGACGTTTGTGCAACTGACTGTTAAACCTTTATTTTTAATTTAATATGCTTATTGTAAAAGACTTGCCGAGTGTAACCTTCTGAGTTATATGGCCAATAAATTATTTGATTTGATTTATTTAGACTTAGGTATGGCATATTAAACTGAATGACTTCATGAGTTATTTGTACCTGGGGAAAAAAATGCATTATAATGCATTCTCCCATCCACGATTCGGGGATTCCCATTCCCAACGGATTTTGATGCGGTTTTTCATAGATAGGGTAGATTCAAAAGGAAGGTTTTTATGTATAATACAAGACCACGCGGGCGAAGTGGCTGGCGGAAAGCTAGTATATATATATATATATCGATGCTGGAAAGCAAACATATAGTAACCAGCAAAACCAAAATGGATATTTAAAGTGGAAAACCTTTATATTAAAAAAAAAAAAAAATCTTAAATATAAATTGACTAAGGAACACCTTATTTATTACCATGGACGTTTATAGGAATTATTTATCGAAAAAAAAAAAGTTTTTCTGCTCTGAAGAACAATTTTGGTTTCGCGGGTCACTACGTGTTTGCTCTCCAGCGTGGATATATAATTACACGCGTATTAGACTGGAGGCCGGCGCCATGGTACTGGCGGACCGCGGCGTGGTGTGCATCGACGAGTTCGACAAGATGTCGGACATGGACCGCACCGCCATACACGAGGTGATGGAGCAGGGCCGCGTCACCATCGCCAAGGCGGGCGTGCACGCCACGCTCAACGCGCGCTGCTCCGTGCTCGCCGCTGCCAACCCTGTATACGGACGGGTGAGAATATATCCCGTTGTCTAGCTGCCAACCCTGTATACGGACGGGTGAGAATATATCCCGTTCTCTAGCTGCCAACCCTCTATACGGACGGGTGAGAATATATCCCGTTGTCTAGCTGCCAACCCTGTATACGGACGGGTGAGAATATATCCCGTTGTCTAGCTGCCAACCCTGTATACGGACGGGTGAGAATATATCCCGTTCTCTAGCTGCCAACCCTGTATACGGACGGGTGAGAATATATCCCGTTCTCTAGCTGCCAACCCTGTATACGGACGGGTGAGAATATATCCCGTTGTCTAGCTGCCAACCCTGTATACGGACGGGTGAGAATATATCCCGTTGTCTAGCTGCCAACCCTGTATACGGACGGGTGAGAATATATCCCGTTGTCTAGCTGCCAACCCTGTCTACGGACGGGTGAGAATATATCCCGTTCTCTAGCTGCCAACCCTGTATACGGACGGGTGAGAATATATCCCGTTCTCTAGCTGCCAACCCTGTATACGGACGGGTGAGAATATATCCCGTTCTCTAGCTGCCAACCCTGTATACGGACGGGTGAGAATATATCCCGTTGTCTAGCTGCCAACCCTGTATACGGACGGGTGAGAATATATCCCGTTGTCTAGCTGCCAACCCTGTATACGGACGGGTGAGAATATATCCCGTTGTCTAGCTGCCAACCCTGTATACGGACGGGTGAGAATATATCCCGTTCTCTAGCTGCCAACCCTGTATACGGACGGGTGAGAATATATCCCGTTGTCTAGCTGCCAACCCTGTATACGGACGGGTGAGAATATATCCCGTTGTCTAACTGCCAACCCTGTATACGGACGGGTGAGAATATATCCCGTTGTCTAGCTGCCAACCCTGTATACGGACGGGTGAGAATATATCCCGTTGTCTAGCTGCCAACCCTGTATACGGACGGGTGAGAATATATCCCGTTGTCTAGCTGCCAACCCTGTATACGGACGGGTGAGAATATATCCCGTTGTCTAGCTGCCAACCCTGTATACGGACGGGTGAGAATATATCCCGTTGTCTAGCTGCCAACCTTGTCTACGGACGGGTGAGAATATATCCCGTTGTCTAACTGCCAACCCTGTATACGGACGGGTGAGAATATATCCCGTTGTCTAGCTGCCAACCCTGTATACGGACGGGTGAGAATATATCCCGTTGTCTAACTGCCAACCCTGTATACGGACGGGTGAGAATATATCCCGTTGTCTAGCTGCCAACCCTGTATACGGACGGGTGAGAATATATCCCGTTGTCTAGCTGCCAACCCTGTATACGGACGGGTGAGAATATATCCCGTTGTCTAGCTGCCAACCCTGTATACGGACGGGTGAGAATATATTCCGTTGTCTAGCTGCCAACCCTGTATACGGACGGGTGAGAATATATCCCGTTGTCTAGCTGCCAACCCTGTATACGGACGGGTGAGAATATATCCCGTTGTCTTTTGTGTCATGGATGTGTTGATAGTGAGAATAGCTTTCTAATACGGTAGTTGAGGTAGTGAATAATAAGTATGAACGTAGATTAAAATTAAAAGTCGTAATTTTTTTTTTTACTATGCGTTGACTTGAGACGTGAAGAGGTAGCGACAGCTGTCGTATTAGATGTGCCTAATATAAATGAAATTCAGATTCAACTTGTTTTCGAAGTGGTTGACACAGGTGTTTGTGAATTGTTTTTGTTTATTTGTCAAATTTTGATAGTTTTTCTTTTCTACATTGAGTATTGCTTAACCCTTCAGCACGCGATCGGCCGAATTCGGCCGGTCACGTGACTATTGCGCCATTCCGTGAAACCCCGCTAGTTCTTCTTATTTTCAGGCAGTTAAAGTCTGCTTTAGCGATGACGCATGTGCTTGCATTCGTTTTTTAAATGTGTGGTGTCAGGTTTGAAGGGTTAATAACATTGCGTAGGTTAGATGTTTTGTGTAAGTAGTTAACTTAATAGAGCTATGCTGAGAACTATATTTAATTCAGATACAGTATTAAGTTGGTGCTGGAGCTACCTGGTCGAAAGACAATAGTGTGTCCGTGTTGACAACAAGATGTCCGATTTTCCTGATGTGGGGGCTGGTGTGCCCCAAGGCGGTGTCCTCTCCCCTCTACTATTCTCTATTTTTATTAACCACCTCACCCCCTCACTCTCGTGTCAATTTCATTCCCGTAGAACACAGGCATATTGAATATCAGTATCAAACTTGAAAGATCTCAAATACAAAACCCCGAAAACTTTCAAATCGAGTTTCAGAACCGCTTCAAAGTCCTTCAGAACAATTTTGCTATGGACGATGTAAACAGCATGGTGGTGGACGCTGTCCGTATTTTCGGTGCTTAAGTATATTGCATCCCGCCGCTACCAAACTCAATGGACGCAAATCGTTATCGTTCTCATAAGAAATTTTAAATTTTAAAAATTATTAAGCCCATAATCGACCTGACGTTGCCTCTGATGCACAGTTAATCTTCATGGATATGATTTCAACAATATTATAACTTAAGAACTATTCGAAATTTCGTATCATGTTATTCCAATTGACTTGTATAAAAGATCAAAACTAATTTAAAGTTAAATCAATTTTTCGTTCAGAATGTTCTATCCATCCATAACTAATAAAATATTAACTTTTCAAAACAGTATGACCAATATAAAACACCTATGGAGAACATTGGTCTGCAAGACTCGCTGCTGTCACGTTTCGACTTGCTCTTCGTGATGTTGGACATCGCAGACGCCGACCACGATAACATGATCTCCGAACACGTCCTGCGAATGCACCGATACAGGTCTCATATTTTTTTGTTACTCTTATATTGAATGAATTATTTATCTTAAGTGCGTAAATTAAAGTTCACGTTCGTCTTGATTATATATAGAGTACATCAGATTATCACAAACACCAAATTACCCCATTGATTCTAAACCTAATTGGGATGGGAATAAAAAAAAACCTATTTAGCCAGTTAGTCAGATAATTTTTTACTTCAATTTAACAAAAAAAAATATATGAAATGTACCAGGTTTCATCTAAGTCTAGGACACATTTTAAATTATTTTTCCTATATAAAATCTCGGTGCATCCGGATCGAAGGACCATAAAAAAATATTTCAATAATATAGTACTTTTATTACGAACTTAAATGCCAATTAATTTTAAATGAGGACGCAGTATTCTTTAAATTTTTAAAGACGGCAATATTCTGATACAGGAATCCAAAGGAACAAGACGGCGAAGTACTACCTATGGGTTCTTCTGTCGAAATGCTGTCTACTGAAAATCCTGATAATGAAGAAGTGGAGGTAAAATATATATTATAAATGGAAAAGTAGTTTGTTCACTTTTATTTCACGCAGCAACAGATTGTCTTCACGGTATGATTTTCAAGTGGTAGTTGGAGTACTGGAGAGTCACATAAGCTATTGTTTACTATAACAAAATTATCTTCCTTCATCTCCTTTATGGTAATACTAGCTGTCTTCCCGCGACGTTACCCGAGTCCACTAGTTTTGGAGAGTATTTTTATAATTATGCACTCACTTTAATTAGTTTATGTTAAATTATATTTATTTATTTGTTTGAAAACTAACAATAGTATAACGAAAACAACTTATGCACTGTCAATAGCTTTAATGCTTAAAGATTTCATCTGTAAGTAATTAATGATTGTATATATACGTAAACCATACAAACGTCTGATAGTTACAACGAACATACATACAATATCGCATTTCTTTGCAGGAGACAAACGAATCTATATATGAGAAATACGACCCCCTACTTCATGGGAACACTCGTAGCAAGAAGGAGCAAATTTTGAGTACGAAATTCATGCGTAAATACATTCACATCGCTCGTTTGATGAAGCCCAAACTGACGCAGGAAGCTTCTGACGCCATCGCTGATGAGTACGCGAAACTCAGGAACCAGGACATGATGGATAGTGACGTTGCCAGGGTAAGTAGAATATTATATTATACTAGCTGCGTAAAAGTAGAAATCTCGTCAAAATAGGTCCAGCCGTTTCAGAGATTAAGCGGAACAAACAGAGAGACAAAAAACATAAAAAAGTAATTTTTGTGTTTATAGTTGCACCATGCATACATACATATGTATTTAGGGAAAAGTGGTTATTTTAATTTTATTATTATATTCCAATTTTAATTAATTGTAGTATTTATATAGACAAAACTATATAGTTATCTAAGAATAATAGTTTTCTACAGGACTGATACCATGTTCAGTCAACAGCATTACAGGTTATACAAATCTGTCAAATTTCTCCACTTGATTTTAAAACACAAGGTTTTGAGTGTAATCTAAAATGAGCTGCAGGAATTTGATATATTGGTAGCCTGACCTGCAACCATACGTAAAGTCAGTGTTAAAAAAGTAACAGGTACAGAAGTTTAATTATATCTAGGCAAACGAAAGTTTAATTTAAGCACACGATGTGATCAAAATACCTTTCCACTTTTACTCTACTAACAACTCGATTGGAGTCGATACAACACTATTTGACAATATTAAGTTAATGAATATTAAAAGACTTTGTGAACGACTAGTAGGGAAAAAAAATTGGATGATTGAAAAAGTGCTTCTAATAAGCTTAGTTGAATAAAAGATTTTTTCTTTTTAATTTACATTTAACAGACCCAGCCAGTGACTGCTCGTACTCTGGAGACGTTGATCCGTCTGTCCACCGCCCACGCGAAGTGCCGACTCAGCTTCCAGGTCACCGAGGCCGATGCCCACGCCGCCATACAACTAGTGCACTATGCGTACTTCAAGAAGGTATGTGGTCAAGCTAATGGGTTGTTTTTAATAGCACTTGTCTCTAGTCCGAGATTCACCAGGAAAGCGATTACGATGCGTACGCAAACAGACAGTACATGACAACTTATGTCAGGTGGGGGGGTAATAGAAAAGAAATGGTTATAAGGGAAATAGCTGCGGGTAAAATGAAAATGACCGCATTTGCCCGCGAACAGTATGTATACAGGGCCGGATTAGCTACGTAGCAAAAGTAGCACATGCTACGGGCCCCGCGCAATTGGGAGCCTCGGTATGGTTCAGAGCCGATTTATTAATTTTTCAAGTCTCAGATTACTTGTGCTGTATTATTCGGAAAGCAAAGCAGAAGAAATCGACTTTTCTGCTTAACAAAATGCATATCATTATCAACTCTGTTACTGCAGGCTCAGGTCTTTCATATGGATGGATAAGGAAAGTCATGACTCCACGCTGGCCCAATGCGGATTGGAGGGTATAACGTCCTACAAATGTACCCATGGACCGACGGCTTAACGTGCCTTCCGTAGTACGTAATAAACTCGTAACAATGATTTTGCGGCACCCATCCCATGACCGAACCTTGCGAAAGATGCTTGAATACAACGATCGTCGGCCGCGTCGCTTATCTGCTACGCCACCGAATTATTTATCTATACTAATATTATAAAGAGGAAAACTTTGTTTCGGAGAAATTTTTGGTCACCCATCTTTGAACTGTGTCATCGAGCTCCTGTTATCAAATAAATAAATATTTGTTTATGTAGGTGTTAATGAAAGAGAAACGTCGTAAGCGACGCGCCTCGTCCGACGACGAAGCCGCCTCAGATGGTGAGCAACCATCACAACCGAGACCCAAAAAGTCACGGAAAACGGTAAATATATATTTTAATACGTCATTCTCCTTAGACAATGCCATCTCGTTCTCGCCAGATCTCTGCCTTTTTTAGCGAGACTTCATAAACGCGAGATTGCATACTTGCATTATTTTTTAAATAAATACAGGTTATAGCACAGAACATAGAGAGAGAATAGAAGTAGTAAGTGGGCGGGGCACGCGTCGCTGGCATATGCGCTTTTACTCATATGACGCCCTTTCCTCGGTTTTATGTTTGCGACTGGCAAACATAAAACCGAGAAATTCGTCAATCGTCGAGTGGTGATTTTATAGATTTTTTTTATTTTAAATGCCGTTTTGTGCTATTATCACTTGCAAAAAGCAAAACAAAGTATACAATCTAACTAATGCAAACATTTCCTTTCACTGGTAAGTACAATTTTAGTGCTAAAATATAAAAAACGTAATAATTTGACACAATGTTAAATAAAATATACATTGATTGCTCAAACCAACATCAATGTTTCTGACCCCATTACTAAACAGCAATGTAAATCATTTTGTGCACTTTTGCAAAAAATAGTGCTGTGCCTCCATTTGTCTGAAATGTACCGATAGGCTGCTGCTGCTCGGAATCGTATTGTTAATTATATGGATCGTAATCGATAACTAAAACATATTTATTTAGAGCTTTTCTTTCATCATTTCATAACAACGTTATCGATAAATATATGCCATAATTATATAAAACTAAAAAATACTGTTTACAAGGGAAAATTATAGATGAACTGATACTGAACAAATGAAATAATGAACTGTCCAGGCACTTTTAATACGAAGATTCGGTTAATTATTTACACGCAGATAAATATTAAAAATTACTGATGTGCTATAAATATCTAAGTTACGAAGTATATCACTGGTGAAACTGGATTTCACTTATTTTGCATTACTTATATTTCAGTTTCCCTAATAACTTTACAACGGATTGCCTTGTTTACATAATTAATTTTGCCCTATCTGTTTTAGACCTAAACCTATCAAATGAATTTCAAAACAACAAAACAAACAAAAAATTATGTTTTCAACTAACGTAATATTGTTGGTGGTGTGAATTTAATTTACAAAATTAATTTTTAGGCGTCAATTTAATTTACCTTATTCTGCTGATTCATAATCGGAAACTATTATTATAGAAATCGAGTTAAGAAAGTCACTTTAAAGAACCGCCCACAGAACAGCTTTTATCAGTTTTTTTGTTGCTCCATATTTGCACATAAGTTTATAGACGCATGTCTCAAACGGATGTGACTTTATATGTAGATTGACGTTTGTACGTACTTATCGCTTTTGTGTCTATCTTCAAACTTTTTTTGTCACGGCTTTCAAACTCATACTTGACCAGCGATTCCTTATTGTCCAGTCGTTGCAATTAATAATGTAGCTACTACTATTATTACAGATATAAAACTTAGAATAATAAAGTAAAACAAACATGGCTGTGATCAATTTATTAGTGTAATGATCATATTAGTTATTACGAAATGAAATGAAAATATCTTTATTCAAGAAGGCTATTACAAGCACTTGGAATGGCAAGTTTATTTTTATTTCTACTTTTTTTTGTGAAGGAATCGTAATGTTTTCTTGCGTACATAATATTTTCATTGATGTATTGAGAGGCAACAGTCAAAATATTTATTTCTTTAAATATTTCTCTGAGAGATTCTCTAGACCGTAAATTATATATAGCGTGGACAGCTCTCTTTTGTAGAATAAAAATATCTTGAATGCTAGCCGCAGAACCCCATAACGATAGATTATACGTCATTCATTACACTATGAAAATAACTAAAATATACCAATCTTGCCGTTTCAACATTTGTTAAGAGTCTAATTTTCTTAACAGCAAATGCTGCAGAACTCAGTCTACTTGACAAATTATCAATATACCAAAATACCAAGGAACTCTGTCGATTCCACCATTTCAACTTTTTCACTATTTACATTTATAAGTATCGCACTCCCGGTGCGACACTGTCACTTATGCAAAAATTTAGTTTTTCAGGAGAAGAGTTTTAAACTCTGCCACATCACAAAACAATGACTTTAGAAGATACAGATGAGATGAATCATACGGAACACAGTTCCGTATGATTCATCTACAAAAGTAACATTATCGCACTAAGTAAAGGGGGCTTTAGGACAATTATTACATATTTAACTAATTTTTGTATTTTTTGCAAAAGTGACAGTGTCGCACCGGGGGTGCGGTATATTAACATGCCTCACATTAGGTAATGCAAACTTTATGTATTTCGTTTTATTTGAATAAAGCTTTAAATAATTACTATCAAACCACTGTAGAAAATTGTCGAACTGAATTACATTGAACTGTTTCATAACAAAATTTAAAGCTCTTATTTTATCAACTAATATGTCACATCACTAATATGCACAATCGGAATGATACCAGTAAGAAAAAAATACAAATTAGGCTTAATGTGATTAATACAAAAATTCTGTTGTTTTCTTAATTTTTGTTTTTTTTTTTACACTTTCCCTCGCTTAATTATATTACTCCACAGACATACGATAGAGTGTATCATTAAGTTTTCTTAGTTTTTGTACTGCGTTTTTTAAAAGATATTTTAATAAATTATGTAAGGAAAAGCCTTAATTTTTCAGTATTCACTTGGTTACAGCAAAATCTAATATTAATAGTTCGCACATAAAATGATGACCCCAATTTTTTAAAATGTGCATAATCTTAAAATATTTTTTTCCTTCTGGTATCCCCATATACAGCCACGTGACAGTTCAACATTCATGTTAAAGTAAATTATTTATTATCACGTTGAATTAGAGTTTGTTTTTAATCGTGTGATTTCTTAGCTTAGTATCTTTTTGGGATTTGATTTATGTTATCGCGAACCTATCGCGTGGCGGTTTTTCATGTAGTGAACAAAATAATCATTTCATCTAATCTGCATTTGTGTGCGGAGAGGCGACACTCGGTTCCCATACTAAATTAATATCATTATACTTCTAATCTCTCTCTATGTTCTGTGGGTTATAGTATTCTACTATAATTAGTACTATAAAAATGTAGGTTTTTTTTTTATTGAAACATGTTATTTTTTAATAGAAACTAACATGATTATTCATGATAAATTTTGCACTCACAAATATTTTTATTGAAAAATGCTTAAAAAATCTCGGCTATTTGGGTGTATTGCCTGAACATTGATAAAAGTAACAAGTGCTTGAAAAATTCGTCAGTCCTGTTAGGTCCTGGGTAGTTCAGTGGTTGGAGCAATAGCCCGCATTGCGAAAGGTAATAGATTCGAGTCCCATCTCAGTGTCAGTGACAAAGTAGATTTTTAAGCATTTTTCATTAAGAATAGAAACTACCATTTTCGACTCAGAATATCTTAAAAAGCTATATTTTTAATTCAGAATGTCCAACGGTTTTAAATTTCCAATACCTAAATGATGGGTTTTTAAAATACACAAATGAATAATATGAATAATATAAGATATTTTATTATAAAAATAACGATTGAATACGTCTCATAAATCTGAATAAAAGACTTTACAATTCTAGTTATAGCAAATATTTGTATGAAACTTGTTAATCGATGTTTCAGGGTACTGGTGCGGAGGGCGAAGATCCCTACCAGTTTTCATCGGACGAGGAAGTAGAACCGGTTCTACGCGCCGCCAGAGATGCGCAACCGGAGCAACACACGCAGCGGGCCACCAGGTCACAGGACAAACACATCGATAACGAAAGGTCAGTGATACACTTATACATACCTTCCTGCTGCAATACTAACATTGATATTTTTTTAAGGTTCCCCATACCCGAAGAGTAAGAGCAAAAATCATTTCGACCGAACAAAAACTCTTCAGATAATCTTAAAAATAAATATTTTTAAAAACAAAGGGGATTATAACCTTTGAAGTCGATCAAGAGAAGATCGATTTTAACTTTGGGGGTTCAGGGACTTTTTTTTAATTTTTCATAGTCTATTTTTTATATTAACTTTGTTTGACGATTCTTATATTCAATCTGTCTGACAACAGATTACAGCATTAGATAGCGCTTGTAATAAACCGTTTTTATATAACGTTCACTCAATAGTAAACAAAGAGTAAAGTAATAGTCAGCACAGTGGGAATTCAATGTCTTTCGAATTTCTTATTAGATAGAATGTAGTTATGTAGTTTTATCCTAAATACATAATTGCTGCATATTTGCATATAATAAGGAACGAATAAAGGTTCCTTCTTTTACTACATGTGCTGGTGTTGCAATCTACGTCGGGCTTTGCGTAATATTCTCTATTTGTGGGTTTATAGAACCCATTATCGGTGCTACAACTTGGTAGCTATACGTTTTTAGAGATGGGAAAAATATAAATATATTAAAAATAATAGGAATGATGACTGGGTAAAAAAAATGCAATTCTATTTAGTCCCGTCAGTCAGATAATAGAAAAATATTAGATACGTATTTTTTTTTTACTTCAATTTAACAACAAATAGCTTAGATAACAGGCACTAAAGTTGAGGAGTGGGGGCTCGCTACGTCACAGTCGAGTAGAAAACGTACCATAACGTGACGTCATGCGAAATTTCAACTCCATGTAACGCCGTAATTTTATGATTACGAAAAAAATAAAAAAATACCTGTTTAATATTTTTTTAACACTCTACCTTACGGACAAACAAACAAAAATTAGTCATCATCCCTATTACTACTTAAACCAATTTATCTCATAAATATTTCTGTCCATCTCTAAAACGTACAGCTACCAAGTTGCAACCCGATAACGGGGTATAATTATATCATATGGATCAGTGTTGAGAATGCAGATTTTATAAGTTATATAAATTTTGTAGGCTGGCGTTATTCAAGGCTGCGTTACAGCAGCTGTTTCGCGACGAGCGCGCTAACTCCCTCCCTCTGGATCGTATACGGGCGTACGTCAACGAAAAATATTCGCACGCGACATTCGATGACGCAGAAATGAACGCGGCCCTCGCGCGCATGACCAGAGACAATCAAGTAATGATGGCCGACGATATCGTGTTCCTTATTTAAAATCTATAACAGTGATGATATTTTTTATAAAAAATAAATAATCTTTTTCTTTTTAAATTCCGCCTCCGACTTGAGTACAAATACGTTCCATGAAGAGTATAAGGGTGTGTTCACATTTTAACTTCTTCATATAATGTCACAGAAAAAGTAACTATTGGTATCAATGTTAGTATATTATGTTGAAATGTTGGGGTTGTATTCGCCCTATTAGTGCCTTCATAATGTTCTTTTTTTTTTGTATAAAAACAAAGCATTGTCCATATTAAATCTCATTATGTATTTTTATACAAGAATTTACTCTTAAGTAAAAAAAAAAATATAAATAAATGATTTTTTAATAAAATATCTAGTTTTTATCCCAACTTATATTTACAAGATTATTATTTTCTGCTCTTTCCTTTACTCTTCCCTTCTCTACTTCTACCCATTTTATTTTTATTAATTTTACCACCGAACACTTTCTTTTGATTGCTAAACGGTTTTTGACCTTTACTAGCTTTATTATTTCTTCCGTCAGGCTGGTTCCTGAATTTTTTCTTGCCGTCTTGGTTTTTGCCGAATCTTTCGTTTTGGTTTTTCTTATTCACCTTTTTGTCTGGTTCCTGGTTTTTCTGGAACTTTTTCTTGAGTTTTTTGTCGAGACGCATTTTCTTGAATCCCCGAACAGAATTATCGTCCGCTCTGCGTTTCCTCGAATTCTCGCTGAATAGATCTGGGAAAAATTTTGTTCAGTTAAATACATTTAATAATAAATACACATCAGTACATGAAGTTACCACAATAAGTAAAAAACTCTACAATGGATTTGAATCTAAAAAATCAATAAATGCAATCTAATGAATCTATGGCCAGAAGCACTACCGCATAATGTTTCAATTTTGAGACATTGGACAGACCAATCAATATTAGTCAGTCCAATTGGACCGTCCGAAACACAATATTCTTATAGTAACGCGGTAAGGCCTGCTTTATAAAATTTAAAACCGAAATTCAACATATATCCAGTATCTTATGGACTCTCAGTAATTCGAAACGCAAGAGCGAAGTTACCGCCGATGATACGGGACCTCTAACGCATGTAAGCGAAAATTTTTTTGATACAGGGACCTGCCGCCACCTGTCCTGTCTGACTTATTATTTAATCAAAAAGTAATCTAAACTAGATTACTATCAACCTAGATAAGTTTTATAACTTGGATTGCTCAATTACTTTTATCACCAGTGGAGTAGCGTGTCTTAGAGAGGCCCTGTATCAAATTTAGTCAGAGTGAAAATTTTTGCTTACACTTTTGAGGGCCCGTAACCGAAAAGGGCGAGTGGTATGCGTGCCACTTATTTATACATTTAACGACCATAGAAGGTTCCCTTTCCATGGTTTTAAAATGTAATACATATAATAATAACTTTCTTTTATTAGGTCGATTATAATTACCTTGCTCTGGTTCCGCGCCGACCTCTCGCCTGTAGTAATCGGCATCGTCTTCGTCGTCTTGCTCCATGTCCCCTACGTTCTGTGACTCGACAGCGGCCAACTCCATTAACCTGTCCGATATAACAACTTTTGAATGGAACAATTTGTTCATAATTAAACAGAGATTATCAACGAGACGCTGGAAAATAAACACGTAGTAACCCGCAAAATCAAAATTGTTCTTCGGAGCAGAAAAACTTTTTTTGTTTTCGATAAATAATTCTTATCAACGTCCATGGTAATAAATCAGATGTTCCTCAGTCAATTTATAGAGAAACAAGATTTACTTTTTTGAAAAATATAAAGATTTTCCACTCTAAATATCCATTTTGGTTTTGCAGGGTACTATGAGTTTGCTTTCCAGCGTCGATATATATTTCAGTTATGGAAAATCAGTTCAATATTGTAATATCATATTATCCTGTGAGGAATTATCGTCTAATATAAGTATATTCGTAGTAGATTGGTTCGCATGCCGGTTTCAAGGTGTTGCCATCTCTGATGTCTTGGGTTCGATTCCCTTTCGGGTCAATGCAGACAATAAACTATTCTATATTATCTCGGGTCTGGGTGTTGTGGTACCTTCATTGTCTAAGATACTTCATAATACGGGGTCTTAGCTACTCATCTTGGAATCTGAACAATGTTAAGTTGTGAAAAAGAAAACTGTTTCCTTTAAAGATATTTATAGATAGTATATTAACTGTTATAAAATGTATCGACATGTACTGACATTTTATAACAGTTATTTTAAAACTAACTAAAAACTGTATTATTTATATTTTGATTCTCTCATCTTTACTAAGCTTGTTATTGGAAACCCAATAATTAAATGAGTGTCAGTTGAATACGTACCTTTGACTCTCTGTCATTTCTTTCTTTATCTTAATACCTTCTAGAGATTTCTGTTTCAGTTCTTCTTTTACGCGTAACTTTTTCTTGACATTCTCCTCTTGTTGTGATTTGCGTTTTTCTTTCAGTCGCCTGGAGATAGTCGGATCATTATGTAAACAACATACTATGAATATAGAATCACTATTTCTAAACAAATAATAACCAATATTTCAGTGGCGTAACTATACCGTTTGAGGCACCTGGCAAATTCATCAGTTATTCTATTTTTTTTACTAATTGTGATGAATGATGTCAGGAGTAAGGAGTCTCCTCTGACCCAGTGCCACTCCCAGCTGGGGGCCGAATTGCCACCCTGTAGTTAGGCCACTGCGTTATCTAACTCGTCACACTTACTTCTTTTCTTCACGCCGTTTCTTGATCAATGCTTTTTCTTCTTCACTCTTTTCTATCAACTCGTGGAATAGAACTTCTCCATCCATCAGTCCATCTTCTATCTAGAAAGGATATTAACAATTTTATTTAACAATATTTTATAGTTATTTAAATTTAGATTAGATAAGGATTTTTCTTTTTTTGTAAATACAAAGAACATTGCTATTGCAATATTTTAATAAAAACTCAATAATCCCATTATTTTGAATGCATTATATCTATAGTTTTATTGCTGCATCATCAGCCTCTGACTAAGCAAACAAATTTCAGAATGTGACCAATATCAAGACCTATGAAGTTTAAGTAAAGTTTAGTTTAATGTAGACCTTGATAAGTTGCATGTTTATCCTGGGTCCCAGTTCGTAGAGTTTGACGGCTGACTTAGAGTCTGCGGTGGCGCCGCGTGACGCCAGCGACTGCGGCAACAACACCTGCGCCTGAGGATCCTCCTCGAACTCGCTCTCAGATAGTTGACCAGCTCTGTGAGTACCAGCAGAATACAAAACATAATAAACTTCCTCTACATATAGATACACCCACTTTGGTACTTCCCGAGTTTCATAATATAAAGTAGATCAATGAGTTTAACATTATTTCAGTTATAAAATTCATCTTTGTTCTAATACAAAAAATATTTTAAAAAAATAACGAAAAATTTTAATCCCATAAATATGTACCCCATTTGGATTTAATGATATAATTGACCTGATGTATTTGCATCTATTCTGAGGGAACTGGATCGACAATTCTCCTAACATAAATCGTATTGACCTTAATGTATTAAATTTATAGTTATGTCATTATAATAGACATCTCTGCCTCAACTTCAAAGTAACTTTGTAATGTATTAAAAAAAAAAAGACAGCACTAAAAAGCACCTCACTAGATGGCGATTCTACCAAAAGTTGATGTTTGCAGGAAACAAATGGCCCAAAGATAGTCATTTCCATTCCTTTTAACTAACATTAAAAATCGGAAATTTGCAAAGTTCTAAACTTAGATATCAATACAAGTATGAAGAAGTACAAATAGAATATAAGTTGTTTATTGAGTTTTGAAAATTAATTTACTTTGATGCTTATCAAGAAAGTACCATAGCAACATTTAGTTTTATTTCAGAAACTATTTTTTTAAACACTTCCTTGTTGCAAATTTATTTTCATAATATAAAACTAAGGCAATTTTACGTTATACTTTGACCAATAAACCTTTCTAAATGTGATAAATCTATTTCATTCTAAACAAACTTAATGCTGCTACAACATTGTCTGTGGACCCATTGCCTTTTTTAACAGTAGGGATGTATCCAAAAATCGGAAATATTGTTTGGTCTACTTGGAAGTTAATTTAATAATTATTTATGAAAACATAAACAACTAACCACATTGGGATTCTTATCAATAGAATACTGTTTAAATAGGAAATATTTACAATAATAAATAATTTCATTCTACAAAATATAACGATATATTTGGAAAATCTTTTAAATATGAAAATATTGACAAATAAACATCATATTTGTGATGATTCTGTCACATCCAAAACATGGATTTATAACATTTTCTCTATAGAACCAAATAACAAAGTTGCTTCTAAAATTGATAAACACATCCTTCTTCTTCTTCTTTTTTAATTCATGGCCTATTTGCATTTACACAATTCCGCCAATGTCACGTTTGTGGTCTTTACACGTATAGAAACAATAATAAAATATGTAAATTTTGAATTTAAATAAAATAAATAGCTCTGAGCGCGTCTATCTGATTACATTGTTAAAGATAATACAAATAGAATGTATATAGAAAACCAAGATATTTAACACATAAATCACTTTTAAGTATTTTTCATTATGAATTTTGAGTAGGTAACTATCAAGTTCAGATTGACAGATGTCAAATGTGGCTTTTTTAAATGACCTAACTGGATGTATCTATTCCCATACAAGTAAGAGGTTCTCATGTGATTTTAATACATAAAGAATTAAAACTTACTTGTCAAAGAATTCAGACATATCCTTGCAGCGATTCAAATTTGGTATTTTCCCCTGCACCACCTGCAACATGGAACATTTCAAAAATAATGCACTAGAATACAATATTGTGTATTTGATTGTTAAAAAAACTTGTAAAACTCCATAATTGGGATTGGGAGATTATTTAAAATGTTTCTATGGATTGTAACAATAATTATTGCTTACCTTTTTTGTTCCTTTATTAAGTCCTACTGGAGTAGCTCTGATCACATAATGTCTAAAATCTATCAGTTTTGTGTTGGGATTGTAATTCATCAACACACATCTTCGAATGTTCTTCAATTTCACCTGTGTAAAAACACAACCAAGTTTTAATCAAAATCATAACAAAATTTTAAAATAACTTTTTAAAAAATAACTGCATCTACTTTTGATATAAATGAAGTTTTTAGAAGATTCAAAACAATGTGGAATGGAGCAAAGTGATATGTATTATGATACTTAGTAAGCACCAAACAACTGAGGACGTGTTTCTCTGCCTATAGCCAATTCTACCCTGTCCAATATCTTTGTGATAAACATAGCAAGTTCTATCAATCAATTATGTTAATTAAATCTTACAGTAGTGATGTTAATTGTAGGAAACATGTTCTGAAACATTGTAGCCATTAGCTTCATGTGCATCCCTTCTCCAGAGAAACTGTTGAGGACTATGAGGGGAGCATTCTGAAATGCCTTCATGATAACATACTGCTTTTTAAGTGATGATATCACATCACGGGCTAGACCATACTGTAAAAAAAAAACATTAATAAATTAAATTATTTTGGGGACGATAAGACTGTCATATCTTAAAGATAATAGTCCTTAAAAACATAGATATAAAAAAAAAAAAAATAAATGCAGTAAATTCTCTGAATTAATATATAACACATTTGTTAATTGTTCTCAGGTATGTACCTATTTCTGTTTTGTTATAAAAACAACTAAGCAAAAATCTCAATATAAAAAAATACTTACATTATGAATTCGAAAGGTTAATGTTGGGCCTCTTGGCAGTCTTGCCAATCTCATATAAGTGCCGAGCTCTGTTTCAGTGAATACAATCATGTGAGAAACGTGAAGGAAACCTGACACTGATAGGAAATCCTTTAGCGTGTTCTTCTTTCTTTCCTACAATCAATTTTGCAAAACTTTAATGCAGATACTCAGACCAATATTTTTTATTTGGTCCAAGTGCATATAGTAATTATATGTATGTGAAAAAATATTAAAAACTAATCAATTTTAGGAATAGTCAAACAATTATTAGAAAATAACTTTGTGCGTTCTGAACAAAAAAAAATCACTAAAACTCATTATGGTTGACCCACTATTTTACCTTCAATTGCGAAGCAGTAAATGGTTCCATAACCTTTCTGAAGTCTTTAGTGAGATCTATGAGGTCCTTGCTACAATTACCACGATGAATAACGAATGAATGTGGAGCCTTCACCAAATGCTCGGGCTCCAAAGCCTGCTTGCTTGCAGGATTTTTTTTGGAGCATCTGCCTTTTCGTTTTCCCATTTCCAATAATTAGCACAATGACTAAAATTGAAACATATATATTTTAATTTACACAGTTACTTTTAATCATAAACATATAGTTTTTATGAGTTATGAATGATATGATATAAAAAGTGTTGGTTGAATTTGAGGTTATATCACGCCGATTCACATCCACAGAACATATTTACTGGACGAATCACTATCGAATTCACTCGATGTTTACATGTCGATACATCGAATCGATTCGATGTTTTGAAAGCTATTAATTTCTTCGATGTATCGATGTATTTCATGAAACATCGAATAAATTGTAACTAGCTAACTACTGATTAGGTATATTATAATGATTCAATTCAATTGCTTTATTTTAGAGGACAAAAATAAAACCTATTGGTGGCAATGGTGGCGCTAATAAGCGGTTCTTCTTCTGTTTATAGCGACGAACTCATGTTTTACCGCTAAGGGTACATTATTCTAGGTTCCGCCAAAGTCACGTGGGTAGCTTTTACTACTTTACATGGCAAGCATAGATGCAAAAATAATTTTGATTAAAATTTTTATTGACGGAATCTAGAAATTAACGTTGGTAACACTGCGTCAGTACATCACAATGACAAAGAATTTAAAAAAAGTTTTTGACAGCATCAACCGTTGGTGTTGTTGATTGTGTGTGTCCCGATAATTTGATGAGCTTTAAGTGAAAACATTTAATTACATTTGGATTTAACTGTGTCGTACATTAGCAATTTGCATACCTTACAGAATATTAGTGCAGAATACCTTGCTGCTAGTGCAGTACTAGCAGCAAAGTTATTCCACTTATCCACTGCCTTATTTTTTAAAGTACAATCTCTTCAGCTCGTGGATTCTCTTGGAAAAGATCTGAAATCGCTAGTCTTAAAAGAGATTGCCAAAAGAATGGGTGTTAAAGAGAATGTGACCCCTCTCGCCATAGCTACAGTATTAGACCCAAGATTCAAGAAAATGCATTTCACAAATCCTCTTGCTTGCTCTTCAGCTGTTGCAAAAGTCAAAGACTTATTGAAAACTATAGCACAAAATGAGGTAGAATCAGATTCTTCGGATAATTCTGAGAAACCTGAAGATAACTTTTGTTTATGGGAAGATCACCATAAATTAGTCCGTAAGAACTGGAAAACGTCGACGGCTCTAGTTCTGACGAGCTATCTATATATTTACGTAGTCCAGTAGGAAGACTCAATGAAAACCCATTACAGATATGAAATGATCTTAAAATTCAGCTACCCAAACTACATATAATCGCTTACAAGTACCTCACCATGGTGGGGACTTCAGTGCCAGCTGAACGTTTATTCTCAAAAGCTGCACAAACAGTTAATCAACAACGTAATCGACTAAAGGGCTCCCGCTTAAATAAACTTCTGTTTTTGCAAAGTCTTCCAAAAGAACACTGGAAATATTTCCAGTATTCCATTGGGATTTTTATTTTCGCTGATTTTTTTAAAGTCTTTACAGTCGCCTCTTCTCGTAATAGGTCTACAAATGAGACCCCTGTCACATTATATAAATAGATATATTTTCGATGTACCGAGGTCCTAGGACTATTGAGTAAGTGTTAGTATGATAAGGTTCCACAGTGTATACATAATTCATAGACTTGACTGTACTTTTTGTAATAAAAATAAAGGATATTTTCACACTTACCTTTGGTAATCATTTTTTAAAACTGTTAAAAAAGTACTCGATTTTAGAAAAACATCGATGTTTTAAACCGATGTATTGAAAAGTATCGATGCATAGTCGCGATGTATTGCATCGAAAAAAACATCGATGTATTTTCTTAACGGACACCCCTACTGGACGAACCTTTTTTTTTTTTATTTGGCTTGCACTGTTTGTGCTTAGCCTTGTCAAAGTTTGGGAAACGGAAACTAAGTTGGAACGGATTTTTTATGGGATAGGTTCAGAAGGCTTAGGAATTAGGAGATCCATTGAATATGGATTGCAATATAAATATACTCTTGTTAAATTGAATCTTAAAATCTTCCAATATCAAGCCACGGCACGGGAACGCAGATGTGAACCCACCAAGACGGGCAAAAGTACAGCACCCAAGAACCTTCTTTTATCGAAGCTATTTAGGCCATTTTCGATATCTCTATAACTTCCAAATACATTGTGGAGAAAATTAGAAACATAATTTGTCAGTGGCCAAGAGGACATTACATAGCTGCTTAGACACATTTCTAAGTTACATTAAATTTAAACTAGTGGGTACTTGCAAGAATTATTATAATTGGAAGTTTCTTATTAAAATTTCACTACCTATATTAAAATAATAAATGTCTAATTATGGAGAAATTTTGACATTATATACTCGGTGGAACAGAACGACCGACACTCCCGAGGTTCCTGGAGAGTGCTATTTGTTAGGGGGCAGACGAGCAGACGGATCACCTGATGTTAAGTGATTACCGTCGCCCATGGACACCTGCAACACCAGAGGGGCTACAAGCGCGCTGCCGGCCTTGGAGGAAAGGGTTGAGGGGTAGAGGGAAGGGAATAGGAAGGGGTTGGGCCTCCGGTCCGGTTTTCTGTGAGGCCGTGGTATCACTCCGGTCGAGCCGGCCCATTCATGCCGAAGCGTGAATAGTTTCGGAAATATTAAATCACAAAGTTTTTGAAAAAGAATAAGTGTTTTCAACCCTGACTCAGCTGTTTTTGGGACGTACTAAGGAAAAGTTTTTAATCGGTCATTGACTTCTTCATTTCTAAAAACGAAATAAACTAGTTTGTGATTTATAAGACTGCTTTCATGCAAATTCTACCAGACAATCAATAAACAAGGCAGTCAAAATGCTTAAATCGGTTTACAGCCTAACAGCCGGTTTCTGATTTGAAAAAGGTAGAAAATTTCTACTGCTTATTCTAAATAACCTAACTTTTTTTTAATTTCACAAGTCAAATAGTTTTAGTTTTATCAAACTGCTATCAACTGATCATTAAAAAACTAAAATCGGAAACGAAAACAAAGTGATGTTAGTTTGAGACGTTTAACTTTAAATTCTCAATTAAGAAACCGAATGTAAAATTTCCTAAATTATTGTAGAGAGATCAGTCTAACATTAACCTACGTTATGTTTGAATGGGGTAATACTCCTTTAACAACGGGATCGTTAATTAAACTCGATAAACTCACAAATCTTCCAGCGATTCATCATTAACACAAATGAACTTTGTTTTAAAAAAAATAAGGAATTTGTTATTAAAATAGCATTTAAAAAGAACATTAAAAAATGCGTGATATCAAACGACGAATAAAAAAAATGTGAACCGAGTTCGTCCCTCGATATCAAAGCCTCACCCACCCGCCAGCCGCCATGCGGCTTCATTATTCTGTCGGTATTTTCCGGCCACTCAATCGCCGCATGGTCGCTGCCGACCTTTTGCGCTGGAGTGTTGTTGCGCATCGCCGCAAACGCACCGCTGCGAAGCGTCTTTTTTGTCGATTTTTGTTTTGTTCTAGTGCATTTTTAATTGAATTCTTGTTAATAAAATACTAGAGTGTTCGTCTTGAGTGTTAAGTGGTCACTATACTAAGTGAAGGTTGTGTTTAGTTTTGTGTGAAATGTGATGTGTTTTGTGCGTGCATGCGCGGCATTGAAAAGAGCGTGCTTAGCTCAGTCTTCAGAGAGGAAATTGACATTTTCAGCATCAACTATCATTAAGATATCGGTAAATAATTAAATTAAATTAATGTATTTCGCGGTTCGTTGTAATCTGCACACAATCGATATTGCGCATGCGCGTTATAGGGCTGTCAACACTTAGAAATTTAAAATTTTTACTCCATTTTTACACCTCCTCTATTTTGAAATATTTGTCAAATAAAATGAACGTTTGCATGTAACCTAACTTGAAACTTTCGGTGGTGTCGGTCATTTTGTTCCTTCCAGTATATATATAAAGAAATTCTTTTTTTGTAAGGAATATAATTTTCACATCGTTTTACTGCGACATTTTATGTAATTTACCCAATGCGGTTTTTTATTTAGATACTTTTTTGTTATTATCAATTTGATATTATTTAGATTTGCTTTATGCGCCCTCTTAAAGGCGACCGGTAATGCTAATTATATAAATATAATTAATCAAAATATAAAACTATAACATGTTTTCGGTTACTTTTCAGTCACACTTCGATATGAGAGAGTAAAATTCTATTTCGCATTGCTATTTCTTTTTATTATTAATTTTTAATTATAGTTGTTATCTTGTAATTTTATGAACAACCTATTTATTTCTTAAAAGTACCTTATCACAAGATTCTTTACTTCTAATATGAGACTGTAAGCCGCCCTCATGAATACTCGTGATGAAGTATTCCACCGGCGAAGGTAAACATACAGACACAACATATAATAATATTATGTATTGCAAATAATGGATGAATAATGAATATTCAAATGATATTTTTCCTTCTATCACAATTATATACAGAGTTAGCTTCTTATATTACATCAAAAGTAAAATTATATACTATTAAATTAATTCATAAGGTTCTGCATTTTGTTGTAAAGATGGCAGGAGGCGGGGAATATCTTCTTCTTTATATATCTTTAGTAGGTATACTAGCAGCTACCTGTGAACATCGAAGGCAGGACAATGAAGAATCAGATGGTCCAATGTGGCTATAGAAGACTGACAATGCCCGCATTCATTAGAAGAGGTTATCTTGATTGAGTGAGTAAGCTGCAAAGCCATAGTCGAATCTCAACTTATTTCTCGTGGTTATGTGTGGTGGTAATAAACTTTTTCGTCTGTGACTTCTATTTGAAATACCAGGACTTAGGTTGTATTCTTTTTTTAATTTGAACGTACCAATAACCTTATAAAAGTTATAAATTATTCCACATTTGATGCTAGTGATTAAACAATCTTGAATTTAAAACTGCTTAGTATGGTCACAATATTATAATAATGAACGTATCACAAATGACAGCTGTCAAAAGGCAGAGAGTTTTGCCGCAAATAGGCCATCCTATTTGCCGAATCTCATAACTTTAACAAAACTATCATTTTCACAGATTCACAGAGTTGCTTACAGTCTATAATATCACAACCGTTTCGTTCTAAAAATAAATTTCCAATAATATTTAAAATAAGACAAGCATTGCATAGGTGCCATCTTAAGAAGCTGC